TTTCATGAACTTCTCGAGCTCTTTCTTTAAATTTAGAAGATTTCCAAAGCTTGCAATTCGTACAGAAACAGGGTGAGGGGCTGAAACTTGTAAGAGAGAGAGACTGACATTCGTACAGAACAGAGAGACTGACATTCGTACAAAAACAGAGTGAGGGGCTGAAACTTGTAATCTCCGATTTTACACATAGTGAAAACTTTCGTCGGATTACAACTATGGACGTAGGCTGTTGCCGAACCACGTATAAATCTTTGTGTTCTTTGTTTGATGTGTTTACTTTTCTGTCGTGATTTTTGGTTTTATCTTGAGTTCGTTATGTTTGTCATAACAAAAAGAATTGGCCTTATGGCCTCATTACTTCAACTTAGTCCAAATTTTATATTATCAAATACATATGAAGCCAAATATACAAGTCCGATATAAAATACAACTCAAATGCTACACATAGCATGACAATACATATCCGTAAGAAATTAAGAATCAAATGCATCCTTAATAGCAACACCTTTAACCTGAAAGGGGAATCTACGTGGGGTGAGCTTACAATGCTCTAGGAAGTATGCTAGGTAAATAAACTACATTCCTTTAGGCCTCACAAGAGTAGTCCGTGTCATACGATGCAAAGGGACATGCTCCCTAACGTCTAGTTCCAGGACAGTCCTAAAGGCATCATCTTAAGTTATCAATTGCACATAGATATATCCATTTCATCTCAAGTAAGCATATACGTAGAAAATGAAATGTAAACAACAACACAAGTCGCAACTACACATGGATGCCAACTTGAAAACAAAACAAGGAATTGGATATATAGACAATAAACCAAGTCACAACTACACATGGTTGCGAACTTGAAAGTAAGATTCGAAATCAATAGATGGGATAACTCGGAAACACACCCACACTCCCGGTCACATACCCATGCTATGCGCCTAAAATAAATGGTCGTTTTTGGGCTACTAACTCGTCGGAAACCAACCGATTAACTAATATAAAATGGGGAAATTCATGTTTCACCCGCAAGCGTCGAGCCCTTGCATTATCAAAGTACTACCCCCGAGTATCTCCTAAAATCATCATCCAATTCCACAAGATAACTGATAACATGTGCCAATATATAACCACATTGCACCTCACAAACGCACATAAGCGATGCTATCCACACGAATCATGCCCTAAGGTCCAAATACTATTATGGCATACTCATTAATGCAATGACATCAAGTATAACTCATTTGATCATAAGAAACCCAAATGCTATCATATAGACATTTTATCACATAATTGAAGTACAACAACTTAACAATTTCATACAAGCATGCCTTTCAAATCCACCATATCATAAGAGAGGTAAATAAATAGCCACATAAGTATTTCCATGAATTTACAACAATTTAAGTGAGGTAAAGCACACATACATAGTGGTAAACACCTTGGCTATCAATGATAATCACAATAAGAATCCATAAAGCTTGCTATTCACGAATTTCAATTTAAAGAATCATTAGAACAATAATATCATATAATTACATAACTAAATACACACTTCAATCCAACTCACACACACATATGCATGCACAACACACTCTAAACCAACAACTTAAAAGAATTATAGATTTAAATACGCAACACACCCCCTACCTAACTTTAGGGTGAAAACTGCAAATCCCACCAAAATGAAAGTTCTCCAAATGCAAAGTCAAGGCCGTGGAATTGAAGAGGATGATGAGGAGAATGAGAAATCCTCTTGTGACTCCAAATCCCACCCTACCTCACATAAAATCTCCAAAGTGCTCCAATCTCGAAATAAAAGCAAGGGTTTTGAAGCCCTTGGTGTCCCCGGCCTTTTTCCCTTCTATGTTGAGTGAAGAATCTCAAGGGAAGAGGGAGAAAAATGAGCTTGAAGCTCTAGGCAAATAGTGTTAATGGAGTTTTGGTGAGAGAGGGAAGAACAACTGTAAAGAGGGAAAAAGTAGATATGCCAAAAAGTGATCCACACGTGTATACACATACTCTAATACACACAAGTCTTGCACACTCTCCATCACACAATAATGGTCAACAATGCAAAGTGGGCCCCGCCTTTAAGTATAAAATAAATGCACCCATGTGTATGTAATGCCCCGTAAATGTCGTGAATGATAAATGCAACACTTGCGGAATAATTGAAAAGTGTCCGAAAAATTCCCGAGCACTTGACCTGACACGAGCCCACACTACCTGAACACGAAGATGAATGGGGAAATTTTTTTTTGGGAAAATGGAAAAAGAAAACCGGTCCTCACAGGTGATGGTGATGAATATTAACTTGAGGAGGAGGAATCAGGTGGTGGTCAATCATTGTTATATGTGCTTGTGTGATGAGGAGACAGTTGACCACCTTCTTTTGCACTGTAGCATGGCCAGAGACTGTTGGGATTTGATGCTTGGATTATTTGGGATCCATTGGGTTATGCCTTGTTCCTCTAGAGGGTTGATCGAGACTTGGAGAGGTGTCTCTGCTGGGGTTCTCATTCAGGAGGCTTGGAGGGCTACGCCTCTTTTGTATTTGGTGGTGCATTTGGCTCGAGCGAAATAGGAGATATTTTGATGGAAAGAAGAAATCTATTTTTACGCTTAAGTTCTCTATTATTTTCACTCTTTTTTGTTGGGTTTCAGAGAGAGATTATAGATCTATCGAGGAGATTATTGTATTTTTGGCCTCTTTGAAGGTTTAAGGCGCCTTGTGGCCCTTGTGCTTCCATGGGTTCCGCTCCCCTTTTGAGCATTTTTATAAAATCTTACTTATCAAAAAAAAAAAAAAAGAAACAAAGTTGAGTACCCAGAAGTTCTTTGGTGTATGTTGTCTCTCAATGGGTAACTACATAGTTTGAGTTGACTAAATGGGGCTATAATGTTAAGTTGAAGATGTGACAATTAAATGCTTTAATATGAACCCCATGGGGTTGGCTCAAGTGAATAAGAACTTGGCCTTTTTGCCTCGTGAAACATCAGATCTAAGGTTCGAATCCTCTTGAGTGCAAATCTCTGTTACATGGACTTTTCAAATGTAGTGAAGTATCTGTGTCGGACACATATCCCTCGAACATGGGTATGGGATATGTGTCCGATACTTTTGGTTGGACATGTACTTAAAAAACATATCCAATCATTCAATTACATTATGTTATTACTTTAAAATGAGTTAAATGTTAAACATTATATTAGATAAAAACATTACTTTACTCTAGAAAATAAAATAAAATAATTAATAAGCTGTGTCTGCATGTCCTTCTTTTTGGAGATTTGACATGTCCGACGCATGGATACATACCCATATCCGACACTCGTACCCGAGTCTATGTAACATATGAGCAAACAATTCCTTTAGGAGGGGTGTGAGAGTACCAATTAGGAAAAAAATAAAATAAAAAATGCTTCAATATGAAGGCTCAAGCATGATTAAAAATGTATGAAGTTTTGTTTTAGTAAAACTAATAGTTGAAACAATTAACTTGTGATTATGATATTTATGGGCTTAGTATATTGAAAAGAGTGGATTTGGGCTCATGATCAAGGAACACACAACATAGTTCTGTGTGAGTTATGTTTTTTTTATTAAGATCCAATACTTTTGATGCAGAGCATGCTGACAGGAAAATGGAAATTTGGAAATTTCACATGGGCTTGCTTTGGACCTTGCCTAATTTAGTTTAGGTTTTGATTTGGTGAGTCCTTTGTGTCTGTGTTTGTTAATGTTGTTGGTATAATTTTATTTATCACCTTTTAGGAATCCAGGGTATTATGGTAATTTCAAAATTTGCTGACATAAGTTTTGACAGTTGTCTGTGGTTCTTGTTTAGTCTGATTATGTTATTGGACCTTAAACATGTGTGTTATAGTAGGTATAGAATAGTTGTCCTTGTCAATATTCAAAGATTTTAGTTTTAGACTTTTGTTTTTCTTATTGAGAAGAAGCATGAACCTCTTGATAGAGGCAACAAATTGGTTTGATGAGAGCTGAAAATTCGTAGAACGTGCAGAATTCTGTTTGTGTCATCATCAGCAAATTACACAAAAACAACTTCTCACCTTGTTTCGTAGATGGCTCCAGGTTATATTGTAGTTGTCGGTTTGACTAATAATTACCAAGTTTTTTATATTAGTGTTTCATAATGATCAACTGCTGCTGAAAGACCAGTCTCTACTCTAATGATTCTGATAGCCACTACCTCTAACACCGAGCCTAGCTTCTGTTGTCCATGATAACCTCCACAATTATGTGTGGTTGCCTTTATCATTGCTGTTAGGGTGCCTTAATGTTAATGCAATTAATCTTTGGTAGTTGCTGGTGAACTTGAAGTTTGTGCTTATTAAGGCTGATGATGTTGACTCTTTATGGTTTTGAAAACCACGAAGCCTTTTCAACTTGATTAACCACAAAGTTAATGGACATCTTCATCAGAACTGTAATTTAAGCTAGTTGGACTAAAGCGGTGATGTTCTCTGATCTGCTGTTGTTAAATGCCTTGATATTAGCTTCATGTTGTAGAGTACCTTAAGTGGATTGTCCAACTTTTTGGGATTATTTATTTATTTATTTTTATCAGGTAAGTACTCACACACACATTGTCCACTCTGGGGCTCAAACCCCTCCCCTCTTTGATCTGTGTTGGAGTAAGCAGAAGACTTTACTATTACTTGAGTCTCCATAAGTGTATTGAGTTTTTTAGTTGCACTCCCGGATGATATCTGGATCATGATTCCCATGGTTTTTGAAGAATATCAAGATCTGTGTGTTAGAGAGAGAAAGAGAGAGAGAGAGAGAGAGGTGTGATTATGCTTTATTCTGTCAAGTGTTGCATGCCAAAAAATTTCATGTGTTAATGGTTTAGTGATCGAACTTATGTGCTATTTAGGCTTTATTTATTTAAATGACTTAATGATGTGCAGTTTGTCTAGTAATTTGCATATTTGTTCAACCTTTATTTGTTGATATGTATGTGGTATGTATTCTTCAGGTGGGTCAGTAAACTTATCAGAAAAAAGCACGATTCTTCAGTGACTGGTGTTGCCTGGCATCCTAATAATGTGCGTATCTCCCCTCATATGTAATCTGCATATATCATTGTACCAAGCCATGCTGTATAATTTAATTCTACAGAATTTTTAACACATTTTTTTATGCAAAATGATTTGGGCGTTGGTTTCCTATCATTTCTCTACTGCAATGCCACAGAATGAGGAATGCCGCATGATCTATGTGAAAACCGGTGATCAACCATCTCCTCATCTCTCTTACACTTGCAACACCAATTGACCCACCTGTCTCCTCCTTCCCAGGTTATCCAGAGTCAGAATACTCCCCAAAACTGTTCTCCGCATAAAGAATGGCCACCTTGAGGGGGGCCTTTCAACGCCAAACAACCTTCCACGGGAGGGGATCCCCTGGAACATTCATGAGACATCTATAAAGGGACCAAACATCAAAGTGACCATGAGAAGAGGGAACCCACACCTGGAAGACATCTGCCCACAATCTCTTGGCGATGCAAAATCTCCAAGAACCCAATGGCGTGCTCAATCTTCCTATCTTGAAAATGCCTAAAAAAGAGCAAGCAAGTGGATAACAGTCAATCATCAAAGCGAGTCTATCCATGGCAATCCTATAAAGTCTCATAAAAGAGCAAGCAAGAGAGCGATCCCCACACCAAATATCCTCCCAAAAATGAATTACCCTGTCATTCCTATCCCGAAACCTGATGTGTTTAGAGAATTCATCCACCCCTTTCAGATGAATTTCCAAACCCAACTCCACCTGGAATACTCACCTCACGAAAGCAGCAGCCTCCTCTCTCCTCCCAAATTTTCAAACAATTAATCTTCTCCATAGTCCATGTCTCTCCACACAAAACCTTCCTAACCGCTTCCCCAGCACGGCTTTATTGAAAGGCTCCAATCTCCTAATTCTCAGGCCTCTCAATTGGATCAGTGTACAAACCTTCTCCCAATTAACCAAATGGTACTTGAACTCATTCCCAATACCACCCCAAAGGAAGTTCCGTTGAATCTGCTCAATCTTATTAGCCATAGAAGAGGGAATCTGAAAAAGAGAAAGGATATAGGTTGGGAGACTCGATTACGTGCTTTTCATCATAGTTACCCTCCCACCTTTCGACAGATATTGCTTCTAGCGTTCTTCCAACCCACTGGCCTCCTCTCAAACTGTTACACCACAGGATCCCATCCACCCACTCTCCTTGAAGATGCCCCCAAGGCAACCCCAAATACGTGATGGGAAAGGAACCAACTCTACACCCTAATGTGCCTGCAAGAGTGGCAACATAGGGGACCGACCTCCCCAACTGGAATCATGATACTCTTCCCCACATTCACTTTCAAGCTAGACACGACTTGAAACCAAATCAAAACACATCTCAAATATCTCATATGAGACTCATCCACGTCTTATCATCAGTGAACAACAAATGAGAGATCTCCAACTGAGTAAGAGGGTCCCTGCCCACCCTAAAGCCTTTGATAAAGCCCAGATCCGCTGCCCTCCTCCTCATCCTACTGAGAGTGTCCATCACAATGAGGAACAAAAAGGGAGAACACAGATCCCCGTCTCAGACCGCGCGAACTACCAAAAAAAGCTGTCGTAGCTCTGTTCGCCATACCTGAAAATCTAATAGTGGATATACAAAACTCGGTCCAGCTCCTCCACCTCTCCCCAAATCCCATCCTCTCTAGCATAAAGAGTAGGAACCTCCAATTCACATGATCGTAAGCCTTCTCAATGTCAAGCTTGCATAGAACCCATGCAACCCCACTGCTCAATCTGGAATCTACACACTTGCCTGCAATAAGGACTGAATCCAAAATCTGGCGACCTCCAATAAAAGCATTTTGAGAGTCCAAAATAACTCCATCCAGAATCGCCCTCAACCGTAGGGGAAGAACCTTAGCTAAAAGTTTGTAGATGCATCCCACCAAACTAATAGGTCTAAAATCTTTCACATCTGACGCTCCCCCTTTTTTAGGAATGAGAGCAATAAAAGTGGCATTCAAACATTTCTTCAACCGACCTTGAAGATGAAATGCATGGAAAGTGACCTTCATCTCCCTCCTCTCTTCATCTCCCTCCTCTCTTTCAGTGCATCCTCTATTTCTTTATTACTGAACTTATCTACCATTCCTATATTGGTTCGTTACTTATAATTTCTTTGGTATATTCTTCATTTAATAGTTGTTAAATGTATTCTTTCCATCTATCCAATATGTCCGATTTTTTAACTAATATTATTTCACACCTATGTCTTTATTTCCTTGATGTATCTAATTTGTCTAGTAAAAATATATCTATTTTTTCCAACTAAAAATATATTTTTCACCCTCTTTTGTACTTGATTTTCTGTATAGATCATTTAATGCACTCAAGGTAATCAATTGGTAGCCAAAACTACGTAATGGAGAAGTTACTTGGCATAAAAAAAAGATATCCTAATTGGGATCAGGTGTACAATATGCAAAACTTTCTGTTCACTAAATAGAAAAAGAAAAGTGAGGTCTTCCAGTTTCAACAAAAGATCAACACTCGTGTACCACAATTTTGGTTTGCTAGCTGGATAAATGTCTCATACTCTAGACAGAAGTCCTTTCCTTTTGAGCCAGTTCCCCTACTACACATTTTCTATTATTATGTGTACTAATCTTACTAAGATTTTATTTGTCATTTGTTTTGCTATATATCAGACCTCAGAGAATTGGTATCACACAATCTGCTGAAATAAATCTAGAGTGTCTAACAAGAATCCTTTTTAGAGTATGTCTAATAGAGTAACGAGGTATCTGTGTCTTATTCTTTGTGTGCCTGACACTTCTTCAAGAGTATCTGAGCAGTGTCGTGGCTGAAATGGTGTCTAACATGGACAGGATTCCTCTGTAACTGTCTATGCTGACGGTTTTTACTAGACTTCTCTTAACCTCTCTTGCTCTGTCAGGGCTTCTATCTTTGGATACCTTTAGATAACTGGACCTTACCATTTCAGCTGGATTAGCCCGATTGTGTCAAACAAAATGCCCTAGATTCACTGAAATAGTCAGAACCAGGAATGGTGACAGGTGGAAAATGCATCTTGTCTCGTTACAGTTTCTTTTCTGAATGAACTAGAATGAAACAGATTCATGGATTATTTGGTATTTTTATTTTACTCTCTTTATAGTGCTCATCATTCTGACTTATGTCATCCTGACTTATTCCGCCCTTTCTGGTAAATTCTTTTTGTTGTGGCTGGCAGATTATCTGTTCCATTATTTTACTTTTCTTTCTTTTTTATTTCTCATTTCCATTCTCAATCATATATAAATATTCAAATCACATTTATTGCTTAATGGATTTTAACTGTGACTTCATTTTACAGATTCTCCTTGCAACAACATCTACTGATGGAAAATGCCGAGTGTTCTCCACTTTTATAAAAGGTGTTGATACAAGGTATGTTTATTAATGTTGTGGAGATTCTTAATCTTTTATAGTATCTTATCCTATGATCATATCTGTACTAAATTATCCGTTGTTTTAATTTGGCAATAACCCAGGGGTTCAGGAACAGGCCCTGCAACAGATTCAAAATTTGGAGAGGTTCCGTATCTGTATTCCTTTGCTCCTTTATATCTATATTCCTTTGCTCCTTTAGGTTTATTATTTTGTGGTATAGTTAATTATGCTGTGTTTGGTAGGTTGGTTTCATGTTTATGCAATAAAATAAATGTTTATTTCTGGGTCGATTAGACATCATAGGTTAAGCCTCTATGGAGGAAAATTGCATCTAAATATGAAGTAAAAATATTTAAATGAATAAAGATGGAATGGTTAAGACATCTTGATTATTCTTTTTTGAGTTTGACAATGCATCTAGATCTTGTACAATTTACAGAAAGGAAATCCTTTCTGGCTGCAAGTTGTTTTGTTACCTAGTGTTGGCAAGGACGGAGCCAAGGTTTTCAAAGTCGGTTGCTGTGGAGATTATTACTAAAAATTAAAGGCTTTTTACCAGATATCCTTTCGTTTGAATTATAAAATGGGGCTTTCTTACTAGTCCGGGTACTGGTGTATTTCTTACTAGTGCTTATGGTAGTAGGCCGGCACGCAATCCTTAATGATTGTTTTTTTTGACAGCGGATTACGCGAAAGAATTCATAGTAATTGAGTCAGAATTCCTAAAGAGAAGGAGTTCCAGGCAAAGAGGACAGCCTTGTGTTTGGGGGTACTTTCGAGCATAAGCCATTCTCAAAGGAGTTTCCACCTTCGTTGTACTCTCTTCTTTATGTATGAGAAATAGAAAGAATTGTAGAATTCAGTGAGTAAGATCCGCTCTGAACTTGAACTGCAGGAACTTAAATAAAGTGACAACGGATGGTCAGGTCAATTCCAGCAAGAAGCTTCGAAAATCGAATATCAGAATTGGACGAACGAGCCTTCCTTCACCCCATTCCGACCCACTTCTTCTAATGTTTCTAGGAAAAAGCTCAATACCCTTATGCCTTTATTGATGTACTCCTAAGGTATTTACTCCGTACGAGTGCACTCTCAAGCAGGTCCCTCCAGTTACAGTCAAGTTGATCGGAGTTGAATGAAAGATCCTTTAACAATCCTAATCTGAACAACCCCTTAAAAGGAACCAGGAAGCCTCCAGCTCCCTATTTGGTAGCAGATGAAAGTTAAGTCCTGTTTTCTTAACACGCTTTGAGTGAATTAACATAACAATGTGAGGTTCCTGGTTTGCTGGATGATCCATTAGGTTCTTCGGGGTTCGGTAGGGCACAAGAAAAAGAATACCGATAAACAATGAAAACACCGCAACAGCAATATTATTAGAAAAGGCAGGAATGAATCCCAATCGTTCCAGCAGGGGGTGCCAGAATGATAGGATTCTTTCTATTTGACTACCTCCAAAGCTTTCTTTTGTCGAATGCTTCCAAATAAATCGTTTTCTGGTTTCTTTGCTGCTCTTTCTTTGGATGATCTCAAGGCCGATTTCCATGGACATGAAGATGACAACGAAGAAAACCCTCCAGCTGAGTCAGCTGACAGAGCGGAAAGAAAGAGGGATGAAACATCTGACTGATCTTTTATCATGCACTTCCTTTTCACCTGAAGTTTGATCTCCTATATATGTGAAATGAGTCAACCCCATTTTCGCTAATAGGAGGCTGTTCCACTGTGAAAACTTCATGCTCATATAGGTGTCAAATGAGTGAAAATTCTTACATAAATAGCAAAACTACCTCATGGCTTCGGATGTTGAGGGACCGTGGCGGTCTATCTCACTGACAAGCTGTGTACTTCGACTGGCTTTTAAATGCCAGGGGAACCATGTCCCCCTGAGCAAAAGTGTCTCAGCCCTGGTGGTTGGGAAAAGTTGACTGATAGAAATGATATCTGAGGACTGAATCTTGAAGTTCAGACTAGGTAAAAGTTTTTATTATATTCTGCTTTTTATGATGATATCCAAGTTTCTCCTCATGCACTATTTGCTGAATAAACAATTCTATCTTGGGAGATCAAAATGTTGAACAGCATTGCTTATATACATTTAAAATGTTATTGTTGATTATGTGTACTCAGATAAATTCAACAAGGCCCTTTCCCAACTACTTGGGAATGGTTACATGAATCCTATATTTCCATTCTGCTCTATCTATTGATTATGTATATTAACAAATAATAATAAGTATTAAATTGGCTCATTTGCATTGTGAGCCTTCTTTGGCAATTCTGGCATCATCTCTCTCTTTCTCCCTCCTTGGTAAACGGTAATATCTGGTGTCAGGTCAGAGAGTTTGGAGTAGACTGATAGACCATAGTTGAGGGAGGTTAAGGGCTTAAAATTTCTTGGGACATTGGTGACACTGGTTAGAATGGTTTCCTTCCAACATATGGAGGGAATAGAGGTTCTTTTATCATTGAGCGTGGAAAATTAAATACACATGGATCTTATTTTGCGTGGAAACTAAAAGTGGGCTTGAAGTACAGCTTGACTGGCCTGTTAGAGGAACAAATTGGAAACATATATAGTAATTTATCTAGTATTTCTATTAAACCCTTGAAATTTTTAATAATACGTAATAAAAAAATTATGTGAGAAACACCAGTGATAATATTTAGGGAAAAAAAATCTTTATCACATTCATCATCATCCTTGCCTTAATCCCACATGAGTGGGGTCGGTCACATTAATAATCTCAAAACTTGTGAAAAATGTACTAATTCCAACCTAATAAAGAAATGAAATAGGAAAATTCACAAATTGTGAAGAGAAAATGATCGTCACCTAAATTTGGAAAACGTCACTTTTTCAATCAGTTTTTGTGCCTTAAACTAGTTTTAGATTCTCATATATAGTATATATTTTCGAGGATAGATTTCCAGGGTTTTTAAAATAATAAATGAGCGAAATGAGAAAGTATGGTTATTTAAAATATTTGATGCCTTGCAATGTGGATATGAGTTGGTTGATGTCCATAACCAGAGTAGCTACCAGCCAGCCCTACTTTCTTTCATTCATGCTGTGCACAAATTATTTGCAGTAGAATATTTTACCCAATTTATATTATAAAGCACGTGATTCATTACAAACTGCTTGCCTATATATATCATTCATGTGTTTGGTTGGAAGACTGGATCCTTGTCATTAGTATATTAATTTATTTGCTTTTGTGTTTGAGCAGCAAATTGTTCAGCTTGATCTCTCAATTTCCTGGGCATTTGGTGTCAAATGGTCCCCAAGTGGCAATACTTTAGCCTATGTAGGTCAGGAATTTCTCTCTTCTGCTTTAATTTCAAAGGATGCAATTCTCAACTTTTTGTGAGCTGACATGTTGCAATGACATGTTGCAAATTTTAATAATGACAACTGCTCACTGAGATGCTTTGAATAGTTTCACTCTTTCCCTCATTACATGCAAATTTTTTCTAAAGCTTTGATTTGGTAGGACTCTGATTGAAATCAACAATAGTTGTTGCTTTATAGTATCTATTGCTGCTTTAATTCTACATTTAATTTTCAATTTTTTTATGATTACATCTTCATTTTTGTTTCTTATTATACATTTTCCAAAGCTTTTATGAAAGTCTTTTTTAATGTAATTTGTCTGTAATATTTTTTCCTTATTATTCGCTATTTGGATAACTCTTCAGGTCATAATTCGATGATCTATTTTGTTGATGAAGTTGGTCCTTCTCCTTCTGCTCAAAATGTGGCATTCCGTGACTTGCCTCTCCGTGATGTGGGTCAGCATCCATCTCAATCATTCTTCTTCTTGTCTTCAGTTTTAAAATATTAGAATGATTGTTAACAAAAAATGTGTGATCGGGAATTTTCAGATCTTATTTGTCTCTGAGAGAATGGTCATTGGCGTGGGATTTGACTGCAATCCTATGGTTTTCGCAGCAGATGAAGGAGGATTATGGTATGTCACATTTATATGAATAATTCTGTTTCTTAAATGTGGGATTCCTTATCTTTGTTATGATGCCTGTATAAGGGTCATACCTAGTGTGGTCCCCGTCAATCGAGGGTGCTGGGAGGGGTCAACTGTATAGAATCCTAACCTTTGGCATTATTTTCACAAAGTGCATGCTCTCAAAATTGGGACCCACGTTCTCAGACATTCCAAGTATTTTACCATTGTACTAAGCAATGACCTGTTATGCTGCCTGCGATCTGTGTATAAATTTTCTTGTTTTTGTACCTGTGAAGTTTGCTTGTATCATCGACAGGGGCGGACCTAGAACTTTAGGTAGGGGGGGGCAAGACTGAAATTTTGTAATAATTTCAGGGGGGGCATTAGCAATATTTTATGGGTGTATATTGAAAAAAGAAAAAATAGCTTGTTATATTAGTTAAAAAAAAAAAATTATCCACTCCCCCCACATAGGTCTGTCCCTAATCATCGACCCAATTTTTGCGTTTGTAATGACCTCTGGCAGCCAAGCAACACATTTTTTCAATTAAATTCTTTTGGATTTATTATAGTTTGTCAGAGTAAAATTATTTTTGTTCTTGTCATAAATTCAAGTATCTCAATCAGATGACATTGGGTGATGAACTTGTGGAATCTTTGTGACACTATTATTAGATTCATTTGTCTTAAATGTATTATTGTCTTTAGTTGATTTTAGAATGCCGTCGGAATTGAAAATTTGCACTTGTATTGTAGAAGAAAAAAATTCCTTGCATAATGTCACATCCTTTTACTTTTTTTGAAGGAGAATTGAAGTGGTTTCATATATTATATTTTTTAGGAGTTTTGTTAGGTTCCTCAGCGAAAGGAAAACTTCTTCAAGTGCCAAATATGGTTCACAGGTATTATGTTCAACTTGATGTATTTCTTTCTCGTGGGTACAATGCTTTGGATAAAAAGCTTTTGGCTTCCACTTTCTTACTGTGAAGAGTTTGTGAAAATAGTCATATATAGGTACCGGAAATTATACACTCCTCCACGTATAGGGATGACAACTTGCTGGATAAGGCTAGGTTAATGCCAAGGCCCTGTTCCAGTCCGTTGGTACAGAAATTTCACACATTTAAGAAGGAAACTTTCACCTGCATCTTTTACACATTTAAAAAAGAGTAAGATTTATTGTGAGAAGAAACCCTTTGGAGAGGGAGGGAGGGAGAGAGAGAGAGAGATTTTGTTAGATAGCGAGAGTTCATAAGATCTCGTCAATGGTTAATCAAATAAGGGTATTTTAGTCCTTTTAATTTTTTATCATTGATATCAGCATGACTGTCTTATATTGTTGTATTAAATGTAAGGGTAGTTTGGTAAATTTATGACCGACATTAACCATCTTTACAGTTCTTCACTCTTCATTGGGTAAAAATTAGAGGTTTTTTTTTTTTTTTTGATAAATAAAAGAATATTATTAAAAGATGCTCAAGAGGGGAGCGAAACCCAAGGAAAAACAAAAGAGCACAAAGGACTCAAGCCTTCATAGAGGCCAAAAAATCAACAATTTCCCCCAATAATCTATGATCTCTCCCTGAAACCCAACAAAAAAGAGTTGAAATAATCGAGAATTTAAGCACCGAAATCGACATCGCCTTTCCTTCAAAGTATCTCCTATTCCTTTCAAGCCAAATACACCACCACACGCAAAGCGGCGTAGCTCTCCACGCATCCTGCCTGAGAGCCCCCACATGGCAACCTCTCCACATCTCAATCAACTCTCTAGTAGATCCTGGCATAATCTAAGAGTAATTTGGACAATTGTCAAGGAAGGTCGGGGTAATTTGCCCACTAATATATGTCCTTAACTCTTACTATTTTTACTATTCAACTTACCAAAGCATTTGCAAACTCTCTGAGTTTGGCTACATGAATCATGTTTTGTCATTAAGCTCTAAGACACACAGTATGAGTCAAACCATGCATCCTATCTTTTCTTACTATCTCAACCTTTGTTACTTTTATTCTTTCCCTTCTCCTAAAACTCCTCTCAATGTGGACCACACCACTCTTCCTCACCAGTGCAGTTATTGGTTTTCATTGTATATGGCTAGACCATCTTTTTCTCTTTCTTTTTTCCATTTTATTTGCAGTTGGTGCTATATCAACTGTCTAACGAATATTTTAAAGTTAACTTTATGCTTCCTTGTCATGGCACACATTCATCTCAACTTTTAGGTTTCGGCCATGTTCATTTTATAAATTTGTTGTTTCTTAGCTGCTAACATTTGGATCCCATAAAGCGTGACTGGTCTTCGGCCTAATGCCCTATTAAATACCTGCTAGTCGAAAAGCTTAAGCTGTTAGGTACAGTTTTTCAAAATATATTTTATTAGTACATTTTAAATTAAAATGGTAAAGAGAATAATGAGGACCAGCCGTCCACTTTGAAGGCAAATGTGTATAATGGCCTGTGTGTATCTCAAGTGTTGTTCTGAACATAAAACTTGAAATATTAAAATTATCATCAATGAACTTTTAACACGACAAAGCAGATATAGTTGCAACTAGTCCTTTCTTGTAACTTTTCCCGGTGTAGTCTTACATGCTTTATTTCTATTTGTAATAGCTCTCCTTTGAATTTGGGAGCCATTACAAATAAGTATTGTGTGTGCAATATCAAGTGCTCAACTCTAACAAATCCAGAAATTTTGTATCAGCTAGACATGCCAATAATTTATGAAGTTAGTGGTGCAGCTAGATGTGAATTCTTCAGGAATTCAAGCAACTAGAAATTTCATGTGTTTGTATAAGAATATGGTTTTTGGCAGCATACTCTATTGATATTCAAGAATATCTTAAATGATTATTTTCTTGAAAAAAATGGTGCTATGTTGAGCAGTATGGGCTAATGAGGCATGGGTATTGGAATTGGGACCCAAGGAAATCTGGACATGATCTATTAATCCAACTAGTGAAGGGTTATAAATGAATCAATTGTTCTGATCCACTGGAGATTAGGTTCTTTTCTCTGCAAATTGCCCTTTCCCAACAAACCTTTACTTGCTTTCACTCGCTTAAATCTCTCCACTCACAGTGTAAGTCAACTACATCAAACAGGTTTGGTCAAGCGTGTAAACTTCTGTTAACTATATGAGCGTGTGAGATATAGTATTTCATGATCCTTCCCAGTGTTGTAAAAGAGGAATGATCCAGGTTAGACTAAATTAAAAGTGTTTGGAGTTTTGGAACTATAGTATTTGGGTCAAAGTCTTGTCCCTCCGAGATTTTTTGGGGGATATCGATTCATCCACTGACTTGTTATGTTGAGCTGGTAATAGCAATTTTAACTTTCAGTTTCATCCATTTCTTAACCTGGTGCTGCTGTTGCATTGTTGATTTTAATGAACTTCGTGGCTTTTGCTTTCATTGAAGTTGTATTATTACCTTTCACTTTACTCCAATTAAGCTAGTCCAAGATCTGATGGCATGTAGTAGTTAATCATCTAGAATGTTGGAGTTCAACTGTGAAAGCCAAATCCTATATTCCTGTATTCGTCTCGTTTGCTCTATTTATTCTTAGATTTTGCAGGCTTATATGGGACCATGATTTGGCACTAGAATAACTTTTTTCTCCCCGATTTCCAGTTTTCTGAGGCATTTGGAAAGCTATATGGCCAATCAAAATATGGAAACAGCAATGATTCAGTCGAACCTTCAAGATCGCGTGGAGGCATTCACGAGAACTGTATCAAGTACTTTTCGCTTTATGTAACCATTTCATTTCTAACTTATTATAGTGTTTTTCTTTTTTAACTCGTTAGTTTTTCGCTTTGAAATTTTAAATGTTTAACGTGTAACACATTTTTCTGTGAGTTTTAGTTGTGTGCTGCCACTTAAAAAAGCAGGAGATTCTACAACGACCCGGTTCAGCACTTCAGGTTAGTACAAGCATAATTTATTTTATAATCAGACTCTATATTTTTTCAATTCGTATGTGGAATGTCGATTATTCACTTTTGACAATCCTTGCACCCAAACATCACAGGTCTTGATGGAAAAGTAGTTATCTGGGATTTGGTGAACCAAGAAGATTTCTCTGAATATTTTTAGTTTATCTAATTATCAACCCATCCAAGGTAAGCAGAAGGTCATTTTGAAGTTCGAGTTCACATGAAGACCTATTGATCTGCCATGTATTGTATCTTATATTGAGCAATTGGTGATTGATCTTTTACAATTTAAGCTTGCAGAGATGAATCCAAACTTCAGTTACAATTTGAAATGTAATTGCTTTGTACTAGTAGTATATGTGGTTGCTAGAACAGATTTTCCATTTTTGTACTTTCCCATTACTGACTGGAAAGTTGAACAAGTTCTCGTTGTCTTTGTTGAATGTCTGTATTAATATTTCATGTTTTTGTTTTAAAATTTTATAAAAAATGAGAAAATATTTGACACAGGCATTTTGGGAGTGTTCCGATGGACACAGGTAGCAGAAAAAGCGGAAAGCTCTGCTCTAAATAACAGGTTTTTGTACCGATTTATTGGAATTTTCAGAACCTTTTTCAAAGAAAGTGATCTGTTTGATAGGAGGGATGGAAAATAGATGAAAGGGATGGATGAGGGGGAGGGGATGAAGTCTCTTTTATTTTTTGTTTGTTTGTTAGGTTGAATAAAATGGATAAGGAAAGCCATGAATATAATGTGATACCTTTATATGTTTGAATGGAAGGAAATGAAAGATTTATATTATTTTTATGAGTATATTCGCAATATATAAAATAATACAAAGTATGGTTTAATAAAGTATTTTTTGTAGATAATTGTGAAATAAAAATGGGATTCTATTAGCCCGCTTGGTTTGTACCAAGTAGGATTTTTATAAAGTTTTCTGTTTTCATAAATTCGTTCTTGTTATAAACGAAGCTGTCTTTATTTATTTTTGTACACTCTCCGTCCGCATTGGGATGATGAATGAAAAGATTTGGGTCACCGAGTTGGCATTCAAAAGTTTTTATTCATTTCCTTTATGAGATTTATAAGTTGGGATTATTTGCTTGTTTCTAATTTTTTATTATTATTATTTTGGGTTTAATTCAGTTACACTTTATTCCTTTATTTTTCTGTCACATGTCGGTCTCTTCTTTCGGTCAACTGTAAAAACTTGTCAGAGATACTTTTTGCCGACATAAGTAAAAAATTAAATTTGAATATCCAAATTCACCTTCAACAGTTATGTACGGTTACATATTATATACCATCTTTGAATCAAGTTGTCCTGATAAATTTAAAAAATAGTCATTAAGTAATACAGTAAACGCAGAGCAAAGCAAGTGGAAGCATTGGGCCTCAGTATAGACAAGTCTTGGGCACCATCTTCTTCGGACTTATCAAGTACCCCACCACCTGTGGATGAAAAAACATAGCTTGCATGGTAGTGTTTGTGATATATATATATATATATCTACACAAACATATAGAAGAGTATATATTGAAGTAGTACTTGTTCAGAGAGAGAAAGTATGTACTGTGGTTTGTGTTGAAAGCTTCAAAGAGGCAGAACTGAGAAGAATCATCAGAGGGCATGTGGTGGTTGGAGAGAGAGAAGCCAAGCCAGTTCTGAGAAGAATCCATGTCGTCGTTGAGCGTGAAAGAGATGGGTTCTGTTCTTCGGGAAACAGCGTAGTTTTAGTTTTAGAGAGAGAAAGAGGTGGCCGGACCAATTGGCGCACAGCTTCACGCGACGGCCGGACTTCTGTCGCGTAAACCAATATTTTTTTTTGGTAGATTGGACTCACCGATAATAGTTCTTTCATCTCCGCCCTAATTATCATTTCAGACTTGATTTTTATTTCTATTTTGGTCACACACATTATCTCTGTGATTCTCGTGTCTTTTTTCATCAATTTACAAAATAATTTCAATCTGTGAAGTAAACAATCCACTACTGGAGGGATCTTTCTTCGGCAATTACAGGTAAGTTTTCCTTTTATCTTTGGCTCACCCATTTCAATCTAATAATCGAATGTTTCTGCGCTCTCTCTCTATATGAGAAATTGACTAGCAATTACTGGATCTCATTTCTTGGTTCTTGTTTTGTGAGTTGACTCAGGTTGTTTACTAATTGTTAGCTTAGGAGAAAATAAGATTGGGATTGCCCTGGTGATATAGTCCTAGACCATGTAATAGTTTTTCATTGATCAAATCAATTTAGTATTTGTAACAGTTCATTGAATGAGTTTTTAATATTCATCTTGAGCTTTTGACAGAGGCCATGAATGGTAGAGAGTTGCAAACAGGAAGAGAAAGGAGGAAAACCGACCCAATTCTAAAAAAGGTGTATGGTTATGCCAATATGGAAAATGACAAAAAGGGTAAATTTAGTCATTTTATTTAATTATTTTGCTTTGTCAGCCCACAACGTCTGATAGGAATCTGACTGAATTTTTACACATGTAGAGGTCTCTTTGAACTACAGGGAGTGTAACTGAATTAAAGGTAGGAGTGGCACGGGTTGGCCGAATTTGAATAAATTGGATTTAAAATCTACGGGTTAATATGAATCAAGACTCCTATTCAATTCGTTCACAACAAGTTAAAAATGAGCAGGGTCAATCGGTATGACCGCATTCATTAATTATTATTATTAATTTTTTTTAATTTTTTTTTTTAAATTTTTATTTTTTATTTCTTTTAAATTTTTTATTTATTTTTTATAAAAATTTTTAATTTTAAATTTTAATTTATTTTTTTTAAAAAAAATTTTAATTATTTTTTATTTTTAAATTATTTTTTTCTGAAGGTTTTAATATTTTTATTTTTAAATTTTTTTAATTATTTATTTGTTTTAGAAAAAATTTATAGGGAGAGAAAGAGTTGATAAGAGACCAATTTAAAGAGAAGATCGTGTGAGTGAGAGAATTTTAAAGAGATATGAGTTGAGTGCAATATAGAATAGATGTGTTGTGTGTTTATTATGTGATAGGTGAAATATGAGTTGAATATGGTTAAGTATATTTAATCCATCTTGACCCTAAAATAAAGTGGTTAAAAATTACTCAACTTATCTTGATCCTTTAATTAAATATAATTCACTCGTAACCATTAAAAAACGGATTAATTATTTCTAACCCATTTTACCTCCCATAAACCCATAATTTTTTTTTTTTTTTTTGCTTCCCTCTTCGAAGATGTAAAACTGATGGCATTGGCAACTACAAGTCTGAACAAAATAAAAAATAAATATATATATATATTTTTGACTGTGCTACTTCTTTACTTACCGTATCCATCCGTCCCTCCCTGCTCCTGCTGGTATATGTATCATTCTGATTACAATTTTTAGCAGTCGAAGAACCGCAAACCCCTCGCTCTCTCTAAAATGCTACTATATTCAGTGCAAAACCCTCGTCTCCTCCTCCTCCAATGCCGGTTGTCCAACCTCCATCTCCCGCCAAAACCCCTCCATTTCCACACCTCCAGAGCTCTCTCTACCTCTCAAACTCAAACCCTATCTTCATCGCCCTCCTCAACCTCACCACCCACCTCCCAAATCCTCACAATCCGCGAATCCCTCCTCTCCCGCCAAAAAACCGCCGTCCAACTCGCCCAAGACTACCTAAACCGTCTCCGGCACGCCGAGCCACATATTAAGAGCTTCTTATACGTATCGGATACTGTTTTGAGAGAGGCAGAAGAGATTGATAGGAAGATCGAGAGGAATGAGGAAGTGGGGCCCTTGGCCGGAGTGTTGGTGGCTGTGAAAGATAACATTTGTACGGCCGATATGCCCTCGACAGCGGGATCGAAGATTTTGGAGAATTACCGGCCGCCTTTCGATGCCACGGCGGTGAAGAAGTTGAGGGAGTGTGGGGCAATTATTGTTGGGAAGACAAATTTGGATGAGTTTGGTATGGGCAGTACTACCGAAGGTTCAGCATACCAGGTTAGGTTTTGGGTTTATTAGCTCTTTTAACTTTGTCCTTAACTTTAAATTGCTTTCTTGTAGTTTTATGATCTTAAATTCTGAAATGGGATATTTATAATCAAATATGTATTTTGAAGCAAGCAAAGCTCCAGACTTTCTAGGTTCCGAGAAGCTGATGAGAAATTAGAAATTCTACTGAACAGGTCCTGCATTTTCTCATTCTAGGTTGAACTCAATTTCTAGGTTCTTACTGAAGTTAGTGTTAGAGCACTTATGTACGCTTCAGGATATATAGTTCTGAGTTAGGTCGTCAATGTAATCACACCATTTAAGCATGAAGGGTCATGACCAACCATTAGATGGGCACCATCATTTGATTGAATGAAATATAACTTGGCTACGTTCTATGATTTTTGGCTTTAAAAATTATTAAAAAATAAAAAAGTTTTATGATTGTCACAATTTTATTTATTTGGAAGGGATTTTTTAGCATTTCTTTTAATGAAATATATCAAATTATATTCTATAGAAGGTGCAAAACTCTCTAGGATGTTTTGAAGGAACAATATTTAAGTAGAATATTTATAATCATTTAGCCATTTTATATATGTGTGTGAGGTTGTGTGTTGGATATATAAGCTGAAATGTGGAGCATAATTAGCTGTAATTTATGCTTTCTTGAGTTGAAATTGTGTATTATTCATTTCTCTTCAGTTTGGCATAGCATGAGAACCTAAGGACTGTTATGTGTTCTACTTTATGTAAGTTTCTTTTTCATATCATTTCATCATGGTACTTCTAGAATTTTATGCCATTTTGCAGTAATAACTATTTTCCTGTATACGGTAAGCATGTAAAATCATGCAATGCTGATTTGATATTTTTTCCAACTTAATTGAATTGTTTGAGTATTCATGATAGTTTAAAATTAGATGTCCTAAGACACAGGATATAAATTTTAAGTTCTGAAATTCCCATCTAGTAACTAGAGATGGTTTACTCAGGTGATCCATCTTACCCTTCCTTAGGTAACTGCAAATCCATGGGATTTGTCACGGGTGCCAGGAGGGTCATCAGGGGGCTCAGCTGCTGCTGTTTCTGCAAGGCAGTGTGTTGTATCTTTGGGAAGTGATACTGGTGGGAGCGTAAGACAGCCAGCATCTTTTTGTGGAGTTGTTGGACTGAAGCCAACCTATGGGCGTGTCTCAAGGTATGGACTCGTGGCATATGCCTCATCATTGGATGTCATTGGATGCTTTGGTTCATCAGTTGCTGACACTGGAATTCTCCTTAATGCAATTTCTGGTCATGATAGACTTGATGCCACTAGTAGTAAGCGAGTAAGGTTCTCAACTCTTGCTTATCTTTACATATATTTCCTTCACAAAGGTCAATAAATCTATATTTTCTTCACGAATGTCAATATCTTTTCTTCACGAATGTCAATTGATGTAAAAAGAAGTTTTACATGCAGTGGGGAAATGGGTGGGCGCTTGCCCATTTACCCAATAGCTTAAGCTGTTGGGTAGTGTAGCATACCCACCCATTTATACCCAATCACTTTTCCATCCGAATCCAATGTGGGACAAATGACCCTTGTTACATTCTCCCCCACCCAAACTCACAACGCCCTCGTTGTGGCTCGGACCACCCTGCCTACCTGGGCTGGCTGACCTGTACGCCTCCTGGGCCGGGTGGGCGCTTGCTCATTTACCCCAATAGCTCAAGTTGTTAGGTAGTGCTGCATACCCACCCATTTATACCCAACCACTTTCCAATCCGGATCCGATGTGAGACAAATGACAAAGACCCTTGTTACAACTATCTATCAATACACTTACACACAGTATTGGGGAAAAAAAAAGGCTTCTATGCATGTCTGTATTATTTATATTGGGATTTTTTGGAAATAGGGTGGCTAATGTGAGTTGAAGATTCAGCATGTATAGTGTGGGCAATACACTATTCTCATTTTGTCCTTTTAGAGCATTACCACGCATGACTATACCTGTACTGAGTTAAACAAGAACTAATTGATCTGGCAATTTGAAATTTAAAATTACAAGTGAGATATTAGAAAATTTTAGTGCGTTCTAGCTAACTGTTATGTTTTAATATGCTGAGATTTTTTTTTTCCGGTAAATATATGCTGAGAATTTTCCCTTTCAGGAAGTTCCCGATTTCACATCTCAGTTCATTGCAGAAGATTTTTCGGAGTCTAAACCTTTGAAAGGACTGAGAGTTGGTTTGATCAGAGAAACTCTTAATGATGGAGTTGATTCAGAAGTAATATCTTCAATCCGTAGTGCGGCTTCTCATTTGGAAGAACTAGGATGCAGTGTGACAGAGGTATTTATTTTGTTTATGAATTTTCCTTTCTATATTTGCCTCTCCTAATATCAGCCATTAGTTCAAGTAGAAGCATTTCTTCATGTTTTCTGTTTCATTTTATTTTTTTAAATATAACTTGCAGGTCTCCTTGCCCTCCTTCTCACTTGGGTTACCGGCCTACTATATCCTTGCTTCATCTGAATCATCTTCAAATTTATCACGTTATGATTGTATCAGGTGATTTTCATAAAGATGTTTCTCATCCGTTTGTTGTTTTCTTTAATGCATCCATTGTGCAAATTTAATGGCAAAAGTAATTTGAATGAAAATCCTCTGGGTATTTGTAAATAAACAACAACAATCAAACATTTTTCTCAACTAAATGAATTCTATGTTTCCATTCTGCTCTATTTAAGGCCATAGCCCCAGTCAATGCAATTGCTATCATATCCTTCCGTACTAACTCTACCCATGTTGACTTTGGTCTTCCTCGTTTTCCTAGTATTACCCTCAATGTGGACTATGTCACTTTTCCTAACTTGCGCACTTAAAGCTCTCCTTTGCACATGTCCAAACCATCTTAACCAATTTTCTCTCATTTTATCTCCAATTTGTTCTACTCCACCCATCTCCCAAATGTGATCATTTCTAATTCTATCCTTTCTAGTCTCATCACACATCCATCTCAACATTTGGATTTCTACCACACTCACTTTATGCATGTCTTTTTTTAGTAATAAAAATAAGCTTGTTGAATTTCTTATCTCTATTTTGCCTTTTATTATTTAGGTACGGGAACCAAGTTGTTGCTGATGAGATGAATTCCCTTTATGGGAATTCCCGAACTAATGGGTTTGGTTCTGAGGTATGGAAACATCCAAACTGGCTCAGCAGTAAAGGTTTAGCAGTGTTTCTTTTGTGTCTAAGATATGTGTTTGTGGAAAATATTGTCTTTAGAAGTGTCCTATAACTTACGAATCTGGTCAATGGAAAATTGAAAGAAGATCTGAGCCAGTTAGTGATTTTAAGGTAACTTTGCATGTATTACAGGTCAAAATGAGAATTTTAATGGGTACATATGCCCTCTCGGCTGGCTATTATGATGCATATTACAAGCGTGCCCAGCAGGTACTGTATTTATCATTCTATTTATTTTCTTAGGTAAACTCAACAGCGGCCAAAACCACTGTAGCATGGTGGTAAAGTGCTTACATGGTATCTCAAAAGAAGGGTGGATTAGGGGTTCGATTTTATCGCTTTTCTCTAAAAAGGACACATTTGTTGTTGAGGAGTCGCCATATTTTTTGTTTTTAATTATTCCAACACCATGATAATCCAACAGAACCAACATTTTTCTTAATCAACAAATTAAATAACTATTGTAGAACTAAGGCACTTCAAACCAGCCAAAATTACTATTAATATTCACAGACTTACATTATGATTATTTTTAGGTCTTACTTTTTGGCATTAATACTCATTAAGTGGTAAGGGGGGCATAACCCATGTGTACAGGAAGTATGCAAGAGAAGACGCAACCACTGAAACAAAAAAAAAAAAAAAATACATACTACCTGGAAATCTACAGAACTACCAACAGACAGCTGCCGTTATTAAGCCATTGGAAAAGCCAACACAACAAAGATGACTTTATCTAGCCGAGTTGTGGACTCAATATCCTTGGAAAAAGTGTTTCTTTCCTTGACACTCTTCACATTAAATAAAGTGGGACATCATTCCAAAGTTTTCTCAGTTTGACCAAAATGATGTCCTTTCCGACTAACTAGGAAGTCCCAGTTAATCTCCAGGGTGACCTAGCCACTCCGAGCAGGGAGAGGAGCAGTCATCACACGTATCTTTAGAAAGCAACTTAGGTCATTGACATTCTAGACCCCTTTCTTGCACATAGAGCATCACTGACAATTGAATTGGCCCCCCCCCCCCCCCCCTTAAATTTTCTATTGTCAAAATCGCTTCTAAAGCTCCTGGCCACGCAAGGATGGTGACCTTCAGGAGAGCCTTTGTTCGCCCGATAGATCCGTGAGACTCTATAAATTACCAGCACAAATAATCTTACAAAACGTTTCACTTTAATGTTCCCTTTTAAAGATCCTTTTTACCTATTGTCAACCTCCTGACTTCAGGATTGGGAAGTTGAAGCAGGATTGTCAACTTCCCAATCCTGAAGAGCTCCTCTGGATGATTCCATACCATTTCATTCTCCACAAAATGACATTCTCCTCCCACCCACAAATAATAACCGCAAAAGATAATCTCACCGCTCCCATCCTCCCCATAGATCCCGTTTCTTCTATCCTCGATTCTCCTCCGAATTCATCTCAATACCCATTTACCTAGAAGAGCCTGATTGAACTTCCTCAACCTCCTTACCTCCAATTTTCTTTCCTGATTGCAATTTAGGCCTTAATTTATCTTAATTCTGTTATGATACCTAAAATACACAATAATGGAACCTGAAAAATTCATTAAGTGGTTATTTGTTTGTGTTTCAATATAATTGTTATGTTCTATATTCTGAAGTTTATTTGGTTCATAAGAAGATGTTTATGATCATAATAGTGTTTTTAGGTCAGGGCCTTGGTTCAGAAAAGCTTCAAAGCGGCATTGGAAGAAAATGACATCCTAATTTCACCTGCTGCTCCTTCTCCTGCTTATAAGATTGGTATTACCTTAATAGTCCTTTTTTCTTCGGGAGGTAAATCACACACGCACACACCATTTGTCCTATTGGAAACTTGAACCCATCTTGGTGATTTTTCTTTTGCAGTAGAACGTTCATTCTTTTACTAGTTTTATTTCTTCCCCCCGCCCCCTCCTCTTTTTGCAGAATATTTATCACCCAGTAACTTGTAATGTTTACAGGTGAAAAGAAAAGTGATCCATTAGCAATGTATGCAGGTGACATCATGACTGTAAGTGTATCTAGGCTGCTTCACGTTCTACAGGTTGTCATTGTTTTTTTCTTTTTCTCCTTTTTATATGTATATGTGAGTAAAAAAAAACCATAGTTGGTTTATAATGAGAGAATTGGAACCCTACCATTTAACCCACCCACCCCCTCTCCAAAATATATAAATAAAAGACCCAGAGAAAAAGAAAAAAAATCAAAAGAAGTTTATATGTTATGTAAATGTATACTTATCTCCAAAAATATATATATATGTTATGTAAATGTATGCATGTATATTCAAATAAGATTAACAAAAAATCTTACTTTTTTCATTCTCTTGCTTAAGATATGGCTTTTTACTATGTATGGTGGAAGAGCAATATCTATTTACTAATGCTAAGATGATTAAATTAGGTAGCTGCTATTCCCTGTTTTAGAAAGTCCTAGCAATCCACTACCTATTTTGAGATAAAGGAAATGATACCATTGTCCCTTGGGAGAGAGAGAGAGGGGAAGCTTTCTATGCTGTGCATCTTTCATATGAATCATATCTCTGTTCTGTATTTGTCAATATTTCACTGGACTAGTTTTTGGAGATCTCTAGACAATCCAAAGTGGAGAGTGTGAGAGCCTTGCAGACTTTGTAAACTCTATGATTATTGCTGGAAAAAAGCATCTTGGTAACTTTTAATTCATTACTTATATCTTGCCACGGTTTGTCACAAGGAATATAGCTAAAATCAATTTGCTATAGTGCATGCATCTCTGCATTGATTACGGCGGATAAAAATCTTTTGTGACCTTATTTCATGCACTTGGTTAAGCAGTCTTCCGCTGTGTTCCCTCATCATAAAATGACGTGCATGTTTCACAGTATGGTTTTTCAATCTTCCGATCTTTCCTGACTGTAAATTATCGTTCTTACCGTTTTCACATGTGCAGTAAGAAGTTTTAATGCGTTCCAAGTCTCGTCTTAGGGGTATTTCATGGCAATGTTAATTCAGATTCATTAGTTGCACTTCTCTTATTTTGTTTGAGAGCTGTTTTGTGTTGAAGTTCAACTATTCGGTGTTTAGAACCTATGTAATTGCTTTTATTCTCTAGCTTTCCTCATTTTAGGGTATTTTTGGTGCAGGTCAATGTCAATTTGGCTGGTCTGCCTGCATTGGTTTTACCTTGTGGATTTGTTGAAGGGGGGTCAACTGGCCTTCCTGTTGGTTTTCAAATGATTGGTGCAGCATTCGACGAGGTGGGTACAGGAACTACTTTGTCCTAACTATATGTGAAGATTATTTGGCATCAAAAGTTTCATATTTATCTGGCAATCTTATTATGCTCCGATCCTCTATCTGTGGCAGTCCAGGACCACCTCAAATTTTCATGTCAATTGTCAAGTTAATGATAAATTGGTCAATGATTAATTTCTAGGACAGTAACGCAGTTGAGAAAGAGAGCTGGGGTGGGGGGAAGATTATCAGAAGAGGATGATGGAGAGTGATGTTAAAAAAAAAATTAAAGGATAATATAATTTTCGTAGAGATCAAGTGCCATTATGCTCCATTCTCCATAATTGATCTACCGCAATGTGGACATTGGAATACCCTCTGCATCTATTTTTTCTTTGTGTTAATAATTTGAAAGGTCAAGTCTAAATCCAGTCCATTCCGCCTAGACCTTAAACTTTTGGGTGTATTTTTTTTTACAACCTACTACATGAATACAGGATTTCCTTAGTATGTAATTATACCGAGTAATTTTGAAACATAAAGGCTGTTTGGTTGAGTTGACTAATTGACATGAATTCTTGTGTCTGCATAACAATGATGCAGCTATTATGGGGCTGAAGTCAATTGTGTAGAGGGGTGAATCAAGGTCAGGGTCAAAATCAAGTCGAACTGAGCTGCTTTACAAGCATGTGTGTTTTTTAGCAATTTTCTTCATTATTTATATGATCTTTGGATCATTGCTCTTTCTATTATTGCTTTTTCTTAAAAGCTATGTTACCTGGATTTGGGTACTCGTGTCAGCGCGGGTATGTATCCGAACGTCATGGTATGTGTGTCGGTGCGGGTATGTATCCGAGCATATCAAATTTCCAAATAGAAGAACACAATGTCACACAGGGACACTGGTAAATATTCATATTATCTAAAATATTTATTTAATTTTATAGAGTAGAATGATCTCTTTGTGTTACATAGTGTTTCATATAGGCATTTCACTCGTTTTGGAGCAATAATATAATAAAATTGAATTATTGGATATGCTTTTTAGGTGTTGTCCAACCAAAAGTGTCGGACACATAGTACATACCCACGTCCGAGTATAGTGTGTCAGAAACAGGTACTTCAACTACTTTTGAAGAGTCCATGTTAACATAGTTTAAAAGTTTTCTGTTACTTTTCTCATTTTCATTTTATTATAAAATAAGAGGTGGTTAAGAGGCTTACGTGCTGATTGATAGTACTGAAAATTTAAGAGCTGAATATTAAGTGTTGAAGTTTTAAGTGTTAATTGCAAATTGAGAATTTTTTTATATTCTTTTTGAATTTTAAGTGTTCAGTTATAAGTAATATCATTGTCACTTAAAATTTTACTTCATTTTAAGTAGCATTTATTTTTTTAAGCGATACACACTTAATTAGATAAACACTTAACCTATTTAGAATGAAGTGTTGAATTGTGTTATCATTCGGCACCCTATTCGGATATCCTGCAATTGGGACCCAGACACCTCATAAGATGTCTTGGTTAATTAATCCTTTATGCTATGTTTGGTAGAAAGGAAGAGAGGTGAAAGGGTAGATAGGAAGGAAAGATCAAGCTTTCATCGTTTGGTAGGGTGGAGATATGGAGGAAAGAGGAGAGGATGGATGAACCATCCTTCCTATCCCCACCAATTTCCATCCATCCAAAAGTGAAGAAAAGAGAAACAAAGGTATTATGAAATCATAGATTGACATTACTACCCTTCATAATTATCAGATATAATTTAACCTTATTAGTTATTACTACTCTTCAAATAAGTAACATAGAAACCATATAATGGCAAAAAGAAATTTAAACTTCATCTTCCTTTCTTTTCTAACAAAGAAAGTAAAGTATTACCTCCTTCCCTTCTCATCCCTTCTCTTTACTTCCATTCAACCAAACAAAAAAGAAGGAAGGACACCTTCCCTTCCCTAGGATGCCTCATCCATCCCTCTCTCCCTTCCATCCATTTTTTCCTTCTTTCCTACGAAATGGAGAGTAGCATAATCAAAAGAAAGTGCTAAGATGTAACCAGGCTTGCCACTCATGACAGTCCATACCACTTAAATGTGTTGCCATATTAATATAGTCTTGGAAAGATGATTCTCACAGATCAGTTCAAAGTTGCATGCGCCCATTTGATGGACTCAAATCATATATTGGTTTACAACCGCTTTGCACCCTTGTGATCATATTTTCAGATTTCTGTGTTCGCTGAATTAGACTATTGCTAATCCTAAGTTGTTCTCGTCATTAACTTCTTTAGATCAATATTGCAGGAAAAATTGCTTAAAATTGGTCATATCTTTGAGCAGACTCTTCAAGGGTGTACTTTTGTTCCTCCACTGGTAGCAGATAGCTGTGCATGCTAGCCGCCAGCCAAACTTTGCATGTTGAGGGAACTTGTGCCCAGTGTTGAAGGCACTGCGAAATGCCAACAGTAGTGCACACTAGTTGCTGGATTGGAAATTTTTGGGGGTGAGCCATATTGTTAACTTACATGTCACAACCGTAATAAACCTCTTCTTTGTATATCCAACAGCTCAGATTGAATTCCAATTACAAGCCCAGTTTCATCCGTTTATTTGATCTCAAAATAAGGGGTACTCATTTGTTTAAACAGCTGAGCTCTCGACTTGGCTTTTACTTTAGTCACTTATGTAGGAGAGTTGCCATTTTCTTTTCCTTCTTTTTGACAAGTAGGAGAGTGGTGAACTTGATAACAGCAACTATTAGGATGTTGCATTTTGCTAAACCTAGGCTTAACAATAAAAATCTGGCGAGGCAACTTGTACATTTTAGTTGGAAGTTAGATTTGGGGGGGAAAAAAAAGCATCTCCCTCTTCAATGGAAGAACTCGGTCAACCCATTCGGTGAATGTCTTTCATTCCATCATTTAATCTATTTTCACTTCTTTTTTTCTTTTTTTTTTGGGTAAAGTACATTGACATCCCCCGAGGTTTGGGGAAAGGACAAGCAGAGGAAAGTTAGCATGTTTTTGGACAATGACACCCCTTGAAGTTTGAAAAATGGACAAAGAGACCCTGAAGATGGTGAATTGACCTTATTACCCTTTCAAATAAAATTAACATTTTAATTGACTTAAATACCCTTTGATTAAACCCAAACCCGAACCCGAACCCACCTGCGTATATTATACAGTTCACCAGAGGATAGAGAAGGGAGATCAGATGGATGGTGGTTGTGGCCGCGGTGGTGGGTGTAGAGAGAGGGGGAAGAGAGGGGCGGCCATAGTTGAAGAGATGAGGTGAAGAGGAGAGAGAGGAAGAAGCATCGGCAATGACTGTGACAGTGGCGGCGGCGGCGATGACTGTGACAGTGGCGGCGAAACCCAGAAGCATCGGCGGAACCCTGAAATTGCTGGCGAGGACCAAGCTCCGATGACGATGCGGCCACGGACTGAATAGTGTGGCGAAGTTTAGAAACCGAGCAACAAGAGATCGACGAGCAAAAACAATCCAGCGAGGACCAAGCTCCGATGACGACAAGGTTCAGATAAGCACAGTCCGGCGACCGTCACCTGCAAGGCCGAGGAGGCTGAAGTGGGCATCGCTTCTGCCGTCCGTTTTGAGTCCAATTAGAACCCTTTTCCGTGCGAAGGTGAGAATTGGGGATGGTGATGTGCACAGATGAGGGGGTGATATATATGTGTGTATGTGTGTGTGTGTGTGTATGAGAGAGGGGAAGAGGGTGGTGGTGGCGGCGGCACCGATCTCATCCTCAAATCTTCCCTGCAGGCTCAAACATCAACTCTCTACCGCTGTCAAGAATGAAAGACGCCGGCGTGGGGAACGTCTCTGTCAATCCCGGTCAAACCCGGCTTGTCCAAGGCCGAGTTCGCCGCCTGAACCGAGGCTGAGCTCTGGCGAGGTCGAGGAGGTGGCAGTGGCAGTGGCAGAGCTCCTTTTTGGCGTCTTCTTTAGTGGGTGGTGATTATGGAGGTTGGGGGTTGGTGGAAATTGGGGGCAGTGGTGACTGGTTGTTGGTGTGTGTGTGTGTGTGTGTGTGTATGTGTGTATATATATATATAAGTATATATGAAAAGGGTATTTTGGCCATTTAAGTTTTAAATATTTTATAATTAAAATTAATAAAATAGTGAAGGGTAAAATGGACTTTTCACTTGATTTAAGGCTCTGTTTGGAGGGCAAATTTCACAAGGGGGTGTGTTTGTCCAAAAACAAGCCAACTTTCATCTATCTGTCATTTCCTCAAACCTCAGGGGGTCTCTTTGTACTTTACCTTTTTTTTTTTATTAAAATCTTTTCTCACCTTTTCTCTCTACATCTAAAGTCTCTATTTCATTTAATTTTGAGGAGAGAATTTCCGTTGTAGATGCGCACTAAATTTTCTGAATACAAATAAAAACCACAAATTTAGATACAGTTCTGAAAGGCTTTACGCGTCTATAACCATCATATCCGCCTTTGCCCATGTAAAGGAATTTTGTAATTCTATAAAAGGGGGAAAATCATAAAAATTATAATTATAAAATTAATTTTTGTTGGGTTCACTCCAATTGAAGATTAATGTACTTAATTTAACGAAGGTTAAATTTGTAATTTTAAAATTATAGTTATCAGCATTTTAATTTAAAATTAAAAGTTTTGTTAGTTATGGGGTTATTTGATTCTGTGTCATCTCCGACGTCTAGACTCCATATGAGCAAGACAAACGTTCCTATTTGAGATAGCTGTAGTATGGAGATTTACTAGATGCACGCATGTCTATCTGATTTTCAAATGCTTGGCTTTTTTTACATGAAGAAAAAAGAAGATAACAGAAATTACAAAGCCATATCAAATTTCTAAACATTGGACATGGCAAGTTGTACGGAAAACTGAACAAAACTGACTCTCAACGTCAAGTTGCTAATAAATTACAGTCAAGGTCTCATGGGAAGAATCTGAGGAGAGCATTGATTCCCAAAGCGCACTCAGCCAAATTTATCAAGCATTCACAATGCAAGTCCTGGCTACTTGCATTAACATAAAAGACCATTTACCCAAATTCGGTCACTCTTTTTTGGGCTGCTAGGAGGGGCACACTAAGTACATAGTTTAACTAATTGCTCTCAAACCCGAATGCGCATTCTCTTAGTAGCTTGAGCTTTTACCAATCAATACACAGCATGCTCGGCTGCATTAATAAAAACGGAAGAATTAATGATCAGAAAAGTAATAAAATGGAGAGATATATAAACACACACCTCTATGATAAACCTGAAAGAATGAACTCCGCAAAATTGAATGCGCTATGTCTTCATTCTCTAAATTAGAACACCATAATCAATCTGCTGTGCAACATCCTTGCTAGTTTCAAGAGATGACGGGGGAATAACATTGACAGACGAAGGAGATGGTTGTGGAGCACTCTCGGTGGCTTCATGAGACAGATGTTTGTTATTATCATCTTCGGCTGCATGACAGAAGTGCAAGTCATCAACCTCATTAGCTTCATTACGGAACTGCGAGTCATCAACCCCATTAGCTGCAGTACGGAACTGCGAGTCATCAACCTCATTAGCTGCATTACGGAACTGCGAGTCATCAACCTCGTTTTCCACTTGACACAGTTGTGCATTATCACCCTCGCTAGCTTGAAAGCACAGCTGTGGATGATCAGTGTCACCATCTACATGACATAGCTGTGAGTGATCAACCTCAATGGGTGCAACCTCAACAGCTGCACCACATAACTGTAACTGAGCATCCTCACCAGCTGCATGGAATTGCTCTGAGTCATCCTTTCGCTTACGTTTCCCCATACCCTTTCTTCTTACCCTCTCTTTACCCCTTACCCTTTTCCCAAGTTCATTTTGTGAGGTGTCTACCAGAATTATTGAACTTCCAACCTGGTCCCTCAAACATTCATGTGCAATATATCTGATTCTTGACACTGAATGTATTTGTTGATCATCCATCCCTAGGGTTGAAAGTGTATCTGCTACATGTGCAATGTCCCTCAATGCAGCATTCTGTAATAACAAATAATCAACAGTGCCCGTATAAAATTAACATCAGAAAAGTGATTAACAGTGGAAGACATATTGTAAATGGTTAGTTTACATCAATAAATTGATTAAATGCTTACCATTCTTTGAAACTCAGATGAGATTGGTATAGGCCTTCCAACCAACTTACGTGTGATTTTCAGATACCACTGCATATATTCACTTTCATCCACACCATCATCATCCTCTACGATATGGAAACGACAATCTGACCATTCACTAAGCTCTGATCCCATTTTCCCACACAGGTCTACCCCACCATCGACTCCTCGGCTCTTCCTCTCCCACCGCTGCACATCTTCTGGGATCGGTTGTTGCAGGCCAAATTGCCTTAAGCAACGATCTGGGAGGTGTCTTTCTGCCTTGTCAAAACATATTAACATAGTCTTTGATCTCCCAAGAATCAGATTGTTTTTTATGTCATCTGGTATAAGCTTATAATTAATATTTGTGTAAGGACGCCACTCAACCTGTATATTAAAACGAGACTAATTCTATTATCATTGTCCAAAAAAAATGTTAGGGCATAATTGGGCTACGCATACTGAAAACTTACATCGGATGGTTTTAGGGAGTCCAACACTTTACGGTAGAAGGCTACATCTCGATTTGTTGTTGGACCACTTTGTTTTCCTTTCCACCTGAGTACGAAAGGAAAACAATTATGGATTGGATCTTGATTAAGCTTTGGTCGACCAACATTCAGGTGATAGTAACTCCAACACTGCAAAAAAGAAATTTACTAATAATAGATAGGATTTCAACTGAATAATAATACATATATAAATTTAAAAAAAAAATCAATTCATAATATATCAATAGAGTATAAGCACCCCATGTAATTCCCCCAAAATCCCCACAGCCAAAGCAGTTGCTAGGCAAAATGCAAGGCAGATTTAAGAAACCTGTAGAAGTGTCAAACAGCCGCTAATGGTGCTCTGAGACTTAAGAGAGGCATTGCCAAGTGCTCTATACAAGAACGACAATGCTGCTGCACCCCAGGCATACTTCCCAGCTTGGTCAAAATCTTCAAACAATGGAAGGTACATGACAGGGACTTTATTACCAGTGGTAGTAGAAAATATTGTGCTACCAACAAGATAAAGAAGGTATGCACGTGTGTGGCGCTCAGTATCTTCGATTGGCGCATCCTCAGGACAATGAGAGAAGGTCTCTTTCAACCAACTAAGTTTCACCATTCCACCACTCGTATACCCAGAGTCTGGCGCTTTCCCTAAATATTTCACACATACTGCATCACAGGCGGTATATGTTACACCTATAACAGGTTCTCCATCAATCGCTAGTCCAAGCAAATATGCAACATCCTCAAGAGTTACTGTCATTTCTCCAACAGTCAAATGAAAAGTATTAGTTTCCCTCCTCCACCTCTCAACTAGCGCAGAGATGAGTGGGTTGTCCAAACTAATTGGAGGTATCAATCTTAAGTAGCCAAATCCAGCCTTCTTTACCAACTCAATCTGTTTCGTTGTGAGTGTCCACTGATCAAGCTTCGAAGTGTGTTCATGACATCTAAGCGCCCCACGCTCCTGTCAATATGTGAATCAAATTACTGTGAATTACCATTGCATAAAATACTTTACTGACCTAATACAGAAAAAAAATTAATAATAATAATTTGTCTTATAGTTAACTGCACCTGTCCCTCCCAAACTGCGGTCGAAACATGCTTATCTTGATCATACAATACAGAATCATCAACCGGACCAGGATTAGTAGCATAAAGATCCATGGTGTTTTTTGCTAAGCAAAGATCCATGGTTGCTGCTTATTAAAACTGTCCAGAAAATATATATATATATAATAAAAAAAAAACAATTAAAAAAAAGAAAGTAAAATTTTTAAAATTGGATCACAAATCTAAATCAAGATCCACTTGAGTTTTCTCTCTTTTGAGAAATGAGCAATATGGAAACAGCAATCGTGGTTGTCAACTTCATGTCATAACTCATAAGTTTCTCATTCTTTACGGTTTACTTGAATTTGATTATTTAATTTATCTTCTTGATAAGTACTGTACACATATGCATGCTGAACTGGGAACAGTGAACTTAGACAGCTGGTTAGAGTTTATCTGGATTTATTAGAAATCATATGATTGTAAAGGCTGCGTAATGTGTTTTTCCACATTCAACTATATAAAATATTTATAGATAAATAAAAATAAAAAATGAAATGTTTTAGGGGAGATTATTAAGATGAATGAATACCAAGCTTCTAGACCCAGCGGTGCCTCCTCCTCGCCCATCAGAGCGTTCAAGCCCCTACTGGGGCAACAGTGAGTGTATATGAGTGCATTGGTTGTGTGTTTTACCAACCAGGGGAAAAAGAAAGAAGAAAAACTCTACATGCCATTAAAAAAGAAAAAAGAGAGAGAAGGTCAAGAAAAACCAAGCACTCTAAGACAACAAACAATCAAAAGCAAGTTCTACAAAACTACGTTGGTTATATTGGTACTGTTCATAGATTTGAGGACAAAAGGAAAGAAAAATAATTGTTTTTTAAGGATTTTGGAGCTGTAGGCTCAATTACAATTGCAAAGAAAGTGTGGACAAGATGTTGCCTTAGACACAAAGGAAGTTAACCATACTACAGTCAAGCCTATCCAATTATTAGCTTGGATTGCATTCAAGTTTTGGCAAAAAAATGTGTGTGCGTGAAAGGGGATTTAGCTTAAGCTTGTCTTAAGTCGGGCTATGAATTATTTATATACAGTGACTTCAACTAGAAAATTAGAAGAAATTAGCACAAAAAAAGAAGGTAAAAAGAAAAATACAATTGAAACAATTCCTTTTATATGAACATACCCGATCAAATAGTTCAAGGAATAGCCTTCAAGATCTTAAAGGCAGGTCCTTCCCAGGCATTAGAAATCAGTTACAGTATTACAAAAACCCTGAAGAATTCAATAATATTTTTAAATTGTTATCAATATATGATATCAATTAGATTTGTATTCTAACCCAATGCCCTCTAATTAATTGCAAAGAATTTATTTAATTAGCACAAAAGAACCCAATAAAGTTCAAAATTTTATGTCCGCCATGAAAATCTCTGATCCTAATGCTCGCTGCAGTACCAAAAGATTATATTGAGATATAAAACATTAAAATATAGAACTCAGACTGAGTAAGACGAAAACGGAGATTAAATCCACAAACCCAAGCAATGTAAACCCAAATCTACTTTATCCACTACCCGCCCCAATAAAGACAACATATATATATGAACATACACATATATACACACACATGGATAGATACATATTTGCTTCCTCACCATTTGAGAATTGAGAATTGAGAATTGAGAATTGAGAGACTATAGCACACCTGTTGCTTGCAACGAGAGAAGGTACGGCGTCGTTCAAGTTCGTGCCCTAACAGCAGCTCCGATTTCGATTTGGTGAATGAAGAGGCGTATCTAAATTACATTCAATTTACGATTGAGCCATTTATTATATTCTATTCCCTAAATAACCCTGCTTGTAGAGTTAATTTCCACATGCCTCTAGAATTTATAATTTGGTAAATTTCATAAAACCCCCTATTCTTTAACTTTTTGGCAGTAAACCCCCTTGAATTTTTTTCTTTTTTTTTTTTTTTTGGACATAAAACCATGTTGCAACAGTACCCTAAATGACGAAAATGCCCCTTAATATAATATAATATATATATATTAAGAAAAGGGTGATCCTTAATATAAGATTAAAATTAATACAAATAAGTTATTCAACATAGTGTTATTAAAAATTATTTCCGAAAAATAGAAATTAATGGTGGATCTATAAAAAAATAAAATTACTTGGATTTTTAAAATTTTCTTAAATTTTAAATTTAAAAAAATGAGAAGGAAAAGAAAACCTAAAACGAAAATTATTTATAAGGAAACTTAAATTTTCTTAAATTTTTCAAGGACATTTTTTTCATTATTATATCACTTTAATGGTGTGTAATTTTCAAAAATAATAATAATTTTAAGTTCTATTTAAAAATTTAAAAAAAAAAAACTCTAAGGGGCATTTTCGTCATTAGGGTGCAATGTTGCAACAATAAAAAATGTTATGGTGTTAAAAAATAAATAAATAAATAAATAAAATTAGAGGGGTTTCACGCCAAAAATAGAAACCAGTTTGCCCATTATAATTTTTGAAATTTCATATTTTCTTTGTAACACCCGAAAGTAAGTGAAGTGGATAAAAGAAAACTAAAATTTTCAACCGTTCCATAGTTTGGATATAGTAAAAATAATTACATTTGTGAGTAAGTCTTATGAATTCAGAATTTATATATATATATATTATAAATTCTGAATTCATAAGACTTTCTCACAAATGTAATTTTTTTATATATTTTTACAAGAAAATTTTACGAAAAGTGATTATGAAAAATTTCTTTTTACCGTGAATAGAAAAAAAGAAAAGAAAATTTTTGTCTAGACATGATTTGTTTGTCAACAAATGGAACACTTTTTATTAGCCTTGATTTGTAATCACAAGTTTATCATGAGAGACATTGCATAATTACAAAGCCGCCCTTCTATCTATACATACACCATGTCCACGGCGGTTTCGTCTTCCCCTTAACATGCCTAGTATAGGTGGTCTCTTCATCCCTCCCTCATCACATTCTCCAAGCAAATCTTGAGCACCACTCGTCTCCTCATACATCATCTTTTGATTCCTTTGCCAGCTTGGTGATAACCCTGAGCAGCGCCGCTTCGGCCCCGCCAGACATTTTTGTAAGAGATATTTACCTGGTCGGTGGTTTAGAGAGGGAACTTGTGATGGATTTGTGATTCCTATCCAATCGCGTAAATATTGTCTTCATAGTATTTAAAACTCGTCTCCACATTTAAAAAGGTATTCACACATGTAAGTAAGTGTCAACAACTTTAGAGGTATTCGCACATGTAAAGTGCCAACAACTTTTACCCTCAAGCAATGTAGGATGTCACGTTTATTCCATCTTGAGACTTAGTATCTTTCTGACTTAATCCTCATGAATCTGTGCTCGCTTTTTCATTTTTAACTATGAATTGCCTCTAGTATCACTTGTTGAGCCCCGCCCCATTATACAAATATTGTCTATTTTACACTCTTAATTTTTTGAATGCGTTTATACAATAACAAGACGTCCACACGCAATGTGGGACGTCAAGAGAGAGAGGAGAATGCATTGGTTATTTTTGTATTTCCAATTGCTTGTAAGGAGTTAGTAATGTATTTTTATACAACCAAAAGGCAACTCAGTTATTATATAAATATTACTTAAGGGGCCGCGCGCAGGGGTAGTTGGCCACAAGCACCAAACTTGACGGGAGAACAGTGTAATTAGGACCAATTAACCTCGCCACCAATGTGTAATTAAGTCAAATCTCAATGAGATTTAGTAAAATTTATCATACCATGCTTTGTTTAAAAGTTACACATTAAAAAGGTGACATGTATTTCGTATTTCATTTCTTAAGCCTTGCACATTTTCATTTCAATAAGACTAGAAATAATGAAATAATAAAGTATGAATTGATGCAGATGGAGAGGATTCTAGAACATTGATAAATTGGAGAAGAATGGGAGAATTTGTAAATAGCTAGGTATAATAATGTTTTAAAAACTAAATTATGGCGGTTCCATTGACGAGAAAGAGGCCAATATCAAAACAAAATCCCCTGCATTGCAAATTAGGAGTAACAAATTACGACACGACACGAGTTAAAAAGGTTTGAGTTTGATATAAAAGGGTTTGGGTCATAAAATAATCGACTCGATTAATCCGTTTACTTAACCTTGTCGTGTTAGAATTGAGGGGTTCAACTTGTGTAACCCGCTTATGACTCATTTAACTCAACATTTTATAATCATGAATAGAATTTATGTAATATGTTACCTGTTTAAACACAATTACTATAAATAGTTAAGTCATTTCAACATAAACTATACCTTATAATTTTTTTTTTATTTTTTATTTTTTTTGAATATTTGGGTTAATTATGACATTTTTTTTATTATTTTGTATTTGATTAAATATTAAATGTCTCGTTTTGATTAACAGGTCATTAAACAAATTAACACGTTTATCTGTTAAATAAATGGTTTGGGTTAATGTTGAGATTTTTGACACGATTATTAAATGGGTTAAATTTGAGTTTACCTATTTAGTATAATACCTTTATATGGACACGAAACGAACACTACCGACGAACACGAATTGCCATCCTTATCGCAAACATCTGATGTGCTTATTGGTGCATGTTTTGATGTACTGACTTCTTTAGGCATCTAAATACTTGATTTCAAGTTTGAGTTCTAAAGTTTTTTTTTTGTCTTGCCAAAGTTTGCTATTCCCAATTCTAACTAGGGTACGCCCTAGGCTAGGATATTTTTGTTGTGTCTGTGTCTTTCTTTTTTTATTTTCTCCATTATGATCTGTTTAGAAATCATGTTGTAATTTGTAGGGTTAGTGCAAAAAAAAAAATTCTGATATATAGAATTTGTGCAGAACTAGTTCTTACTTTTTAAAAATGTGCATGTTAGTCCATAAAATTAAAAACAAAGTGCAAATAAGCCCTTCCGACCACTTTTTGACAAAAAATAAATATGAAAATCCTATTTTAGCCGGTAGAGCTAAAGCCATCTTTTAAGGGAGCTTCTTCCTCTTTTCTTAGGCTAGAGAAAAACATCTCATAACAATCTCAGAAAAACAAATACGACAATTGAGAAAAAGCCGAAGTAAGATTGTGAATCCTTGATTGGTGATTGGATTGAACTGTCCTGTCTGCTTTCAGTTGTTACAGAGAGTACCGTCTGCACTCTCAACATAATTATGTAAATTCCAACTCAAAAGGGGTTCCATTTAGCTTCCATATTGAGATCCAATAATGCCTTTCATTTCACTCGTAGCCATGAAAGGAAAAAGAAGATAAAAAATGTGTTCCAAATCTTCCGTAAATTAGGTGTTTCAATTGCTTTGTGCTTCTTCTAGGAATCCCTGGTGGTTGGTTTGTTGTTCATGGTTGGAACTCTCTATCAGGGGCGGGTTCCAACTGGTAAACTGCAAGGCTAATCATGACTTAATTCATAATTTACTACTCTTTCTGGTACTTCTACAAAAAAAAAAAAAAAAATGACCATACAAGGAAAAAATATATATATATGAAAAATATATATATATATATATATATGAAAAATGAAAAAAAAAAAAAAAAAAAAAATTAATAAATTGTTATAATTAAACCTTAATTTATCATATATATATATGTCACAGACACTACTCTATCATTGATTCGGCGTTACCCCAAACTGGCATGGAAGCAACCTCCTTCGGCCCTGGAAATAATTGCTTTGAATTGTTCTTCTGCGCTTACAAGTGGAGCCCGATTGAACTGGTGGCAAAGCTTCATCTACTCTTGTTAGTCTCCTAAATGAGGTTTATTTTATTCTTGTCCCAAACAAACACAATTTTACATAAATTGAACAAAATAATCATTTTACACGACCTGTATTTATAGTTATTAATTTATTCAACTGAAGTGAAGTTATCATCGTCATTTTATACCACAGGGACCTATTCGCACCAAATTAATAGTATAAAGGGATTTTATATTACACAATGACCTTTTTTTTTGCACTTAACCCGAATTTGTTCCATATTGTTTTATGTTTGTATTGAAATTTCCAACCATTCAGGAAAAAGAAAAAAAGAGGCCTACATATAGGTAGACACCCTCCTATATATATTATTATAACATAATTGCGGTTCCCCACAGCGAGCATGATATGAATAGAATTTTATTATTAATAACAATTAAAAAACATATGAAAAAGTAAAAACAAAGAAACTAATAATCAACCACAAACAAACCACCAACATTTTACACTGCACCTCCGCCTGGATTTTTAACCTATTAATCCTGGAGACCCGGTCCTAAGTATTCCTGGAAGTTGCCAAAAAAATGTCTGGTAAATCTCACAACATAAAAATAAAAAATAAAAAATAAAAAATGTATGCATTGCTATTGCCCGACCTTATGCAATAACCATCCACTTGGGCAGTATAGCAAAACACAACTATGGATTAAGAAAACATTCGGAGGAAGTTGCTGGCATATGCCATTGGCTTGACATCAGGGTGTTGCTGCAATTTCATCAATAAGAAAATTGGAAATAAAGATATCAGACAACAATAGTTGATGAATCATTTAACAAAAATAACATATTTCAAAGAACAGAAAACACTGACCACCGCTGGAAAGGTAACAATATTTGGCTTCATAATGGGGCCTTCAAAACGAATAAAAGCACCCTTATTTCCCATCTGCAGCATACACGAATATCAAATGTTCAAACTTCGTACTCAATTGAAAACTTGTCATAAATTAGCAGGCTTTTATTAATAATTAACCATTCCAGAGAGATAATACAAAAGCAAGACCGGTCAAGAATATCGAGCATTTACAACTTATGAAACCAGAGGACAAAAGGGGAAAAAAAAAAAGCTATGAGAAGTATTTATTATTGGCTTTCAAAATTCTGAGTGGGATTCCCCCCACTGCACATTCTCTATAGAGAGAACAAAAAATATAGACATTGACAAAGATTTCCTATAAAAGTTCAATGAACATATTAAAGTATGAAAGTACCTCAAGGCATCATTAAAGAAATACAATGACTAAGGCAGAGTAATTTTACAACATCTAGAGGTCTTGAAACAAAAAAATAAATAAATAAACCTAGATCAGTAGTCCTAGTAACGTCCTAAATAACACTGACGCGGGTTCATACTCAAGTTCCACATTATGAAAATAAATGCCGCCATTAATCCATAGAAATTCAATGAGTACAATAATAACATATTAAGACAGGAAAGGCCCTGCTAAAATTACCTGATCACAATAGTTTGGAGCAGAAAATACAGTAATGAGTTTACCATCATGCTCAATCTCATAGCCCTCATCCTTCACTTCGTGGGATCGCACGACTAAATCTGTCGAAAGATAATGTGTGAAGACACCAATTTGAAGGAAATGAATCCATGAAAAGAATAAAAAAAAATTGGCAGCAGAGTACCTAGATTGTTTTCCTGCAAAAATTTGTGTGTTACGTCTGCACCAAAAGAAAGACCTACGCCCCGCTTGCTTGGACCCCTTCCAGGCTGAGGTTGAGGATCACTCCACAGCAATTCACACATCAACCCTAATAACCATGCAAAAATATATATTTTTTTTTTTTGAAGCCTACCCAAATAAAGCAATAAGCAAGTATAGAGGAAAGTATAACAATAGTGGTTTAGAAAAATTTTATATTTTGAAAGCATCAACTTTACTAGTTTGCTTTGTTAAGAGCATTGACAAAGTCAGTTAAAAGGCGTAAAAGCAAAAAATAAAAATAATAATCAAAAGGTAATAGAAACTGTAAAATAGATTTTTTTTTTTTTTTTTTTTTGACCCAAATTGAAACATCAATTTATTGAAACCCAACTTGCTTTTCACTAAAAATTAAATAAAAAACATACTAGTTACCTTATAGAGTAACATGTACCGGCAGGAAAGAAAATGGAAAATGGAAAATGGTAAGGTGGAGTTAGTTGATTAGAAGTGTTGTACATGATTATCTGACCATATGATCAAGTCTGTAAAAACAGTGAGCCATGACATGCAAACATGTGACTAAAAACAAGTTAATTTAAATTATCTTCATTACCAGAATTTTTAAGGTTAATCTAGAGGTATTAACAATTCAATCTTCAACGTCTTTATCATAGTAAAATACCAAAATTTCAAGGCTTAGGAATGATCATCCAGCACACGTCATCTTTAGAGGACTAAAGAAGAAACAGTCAAAATCATAAAGTATTCATTTCTTATCGACAACTCCAAGACATATTGAGTCTTGTGACCAAAAGAGTAGCAATTATAAGTAAATTTATGTATTAAATTCAAAAAAGAAAGGTTTATCCAGTGTGTTCTTGTGTTGAAATACACATGCAACCAGTGACAGACCAGGAATTTTTTTTGAGGGGGGGCACCGTTGAAGAAAAAAATAATTTGAAGACAAATATTTTTAAAATAAAATAATAAATATAAGAATTTAATTTTTTATAGCTTGTTCAGCACATGCCAGGCTGTATCCAACATAATTTGTGTTGGTGTGAGAACGAGATTCTTTGACTTTTTAACCGTGTTTGTGCTTCCTAAATTATCATTGATGTGGGGTAGTAGAAAGTGAAGAAACAAGAGAGCTGATTAACTTTACTTTCTTTTGGATTATTAATATATAGCGGGTCATTTCAAAAATTGAGTAGGAATATGAGAGTGCGAGAGAATTGTTTATCATGAATGTAAAGGAGGATCATGAAAGTGTGAGAGAGAATTGATTATCATGAATGTAAAGGCGGTAGAGAATGAAAAAGAGAGATGATGATTATCTTTTGAATCCAAATAAATTAGTGTGGTAAAACTGTGAAGTAGGGTATTTTAAAAAATTGAGTGGGGCATTTTTGAAATTTTAATTAAAACTATGGGTAATAATGTAAATTGGAAAAAATCTAGTGGGGCCATCCGCCCCCACTGGGCCTGAATTGGGTCCGTCCCTGCATGCTACCACACTTCAGTTGCTCAAAAAGCAGCATTCCTAAATGAGAAAATTTGTTAAATGGAAATAGAATTGGCCAACCATTGTCATTTAAGAACACTCCGTTGTTATGCGTAAGTGACACAAGATAAAAGATAAATCTCAAACACCATGGAATTCATTATATCCCTCATACTGCTTTATATGGTACCAATAAGTAGCTTCCTCTGTTGAATCCGTTGGGATCATATAATGGGATTAAATCAAGTATAAAAGGAACTAGAACCCTGTCCTTTTATTAAATAAGACACTTTGAATTTCCATGAAATTTATGAAAACTAACTTGACAATGCAGGAAACAAACCAGCTAAGGTGCCAGGAATCTTTCGGTAAAACTCCCTATATCCTCGTTTATTGAAACACGTCTTGATGTAAACATATGAAAAGGTACTAATCAAGACTGTAAGGCGTTAAACTAAGATTAGTTGGTAATGTTTCTTAGAGGACATACCAGAGACCTAGGTTCTTATTCTCAATAAAGAACTCAAATTTCCGCCAAAATTTCTCTCCCTTATTTTAACCTTGAAGTAGCATAAAGCCTGCTTACATTACATCTTATTTTGCAAATGATGCCATCTTGCCTAAGGAATAGAACTCAAGCCATAGTCACGAGTAAAAGGTATCAAGAAAAGGAAATAACTGTGCAATCCTCACCCACGTAACTCCGGTAGCAAATCAACCAGAACAGTTTAGATTACTTTATTAAGGAATTCACAGATGAATCCACTGCAAATGAGCAGAGCTCAAGCTAAAGTATCAAGAACAATTGCTTGACTAGTCAAAGCTTAAGCAACAGGAAGCTTGAAAATTTAATTCATCCTGGCATGTAAAAACAATCTACCACAATTTCAACCCAATTATCAGATATTGTATCACAAGCCCATTAGTTGTTTGAAAATTTGAAGTTTTCAACTTCTGAAGATATGTGAGGGTGAACGATGTTGAAATGTAAGACCATAGAGATTGGTTGAATCCACCTCCTCCAATTCTTTGCCTAGATTTTCTCCATCGTTAAGACATTCGCAGCTCTTAAAAAAAATTCTCCAAATTTTTGTCAAGCTTCATTTGAACAAGGAGCTCTTGTCTCCAAACAGCCACCAAATAATAAAATTGGGAAAAAAAGATTAAACGAACAACTAAAATTTTGACAAGAAGAATTATCCAAATTATTTTGGTAAGAACTTGTGGAATCACTAATGGCGGGATTGTGTGGGTTTTATCAGAAGAACAATATAAATATGAGAAAAGGAATTAACAAAAAAAAAAAAAAAAAAAAAACAGTACATGGAACTTACCTTCCTCTGGGGGCTCACAAAAACGATCAATTTCTCTAATGTCTGAAAGCTTCACCCCATCAACACTGAAAAGACCTCCATGAACCACAAAAACCTTCTGATTTATTACATGAGCCAGAGGTAAACAACAGAAAACTTCGGCAAAGAGTTCCACAAATGTTTCACTCAACTTGGACCTGACCTCGCCCTCAAAACCATATATCTTGTTCATACTCTTGCTTTCGTGATTTCCTCGAGAGAGATATATAGCTAAAGATTTTACAAAGAAGTTAGCAGAACGCAACACGACATTTGAAATATCACTCATGTGCTAAGAGTATTTATAAACACAATACAACTGAATGAAGATGCAAAAGAATACAAATCAACAACTATGCATTGGTCCAAAAGATGTATTCTTGGTTGTTTAGTTCATAGCGAACACCAAAAAGATAGAATAGTTGCAAAGAACTTATTTACAACATTATACCCTTCCCTCAATTTTCTGATGCGGTGATGGCCCAAAACAAAATAAGCAGAGGACATTCCTATTCCAATATATATGTACATGTATATGGATATATATGACTACAGAGGGTAACAAAAAATGTTGCCTTGGACATGACTCGTTAAATCCTACTATGACACACCATATTCAAGAAAAGGCAAACAGTAGCTCTTAGTTGATCCCCAACAGCAAAAACATAAAAACATAATAAAAAATGGGAACTCCATTCTTATTGAAACTCCATTCCAAGTATTGACTATGTGCCAAAAACTTATCATCAAGGCAGCTGAGAAAATAAAAAACACTAGAAGGTGCTTACCTGAAGGAGACATGCATTTAAATGCGAACAGCGTAAGAATGACCTCTACAGAAAAGGATCCCCGATCCACAAAGTCACCATTAAATAGATAAGGATTCTCTTCCGAGGGAAGCCCATTGAGCTCAAAAATATTTAGCAGATCATAGAACTGCAATCAAAGCCCCCCCCCAAAAAATCAGTGTTCTAGAATCACGCGCATTAAACAGACAGAAGAGCAGTGAATTAAATTCTCAAAAGCTAAAAACAGAGATACAAGACGAGTTCATAACACTGGATGTCAACCATAGCAATAACAAAGGAAACAAGATGTACATATGTAAAGAAGTAAAATCAAACAAGAAAGGTTTTATCATATGCCACAGCAAAGGAGAAAAATATTACACAACAAATTGATGTTTTAAGTTTACTTAGGCAACAAAAGGTACTGGAAGTTGAATTAAGAAATTTTTTTGTAAGAGAATTTTGTCATACTACTTGATACTTGAACCATACAATCGAGACTCATATGAAACAGAAAACATTGCAACTTAAAGCTAACAATCAGAAATATTGACCAAATCGTGTGGAATCCAAAAATAAAAGGGAAAACTACACTTAAGTAGAATTAGGAGTCCTAAATAACAAAGTGGTCTATTTTTAAGGTTGATTTTTCAATTTGGTTCAATTAAGTAAAATGATTACATATGCATTGATAACCATTGTCCAGGTCCAAAATGCCCTCCAAGTTCTTATTTCAAAATACCAAACTATCCTTGAATCAAATAATTCCATCACTCAACAAATTCAGAAGATAAAAAAAATTACAACAGCAACATATATATATATATATATATATATATATATATATATATATGTTGAAAATTTAAATGTGCACATAACTTTAATCACATCTCCTAATCTATGCCAGTACAAATCTGCAAATGTGAAAATTTTTCTGTGCACATAAAATTTGTATATAAATATAGAGACACATAGAGGCGATCATAAAAAATACATTTACATGATACACCGGCCAGCAACCATTTTTTTATTTATAAACAAAGTGTAATCAATTGAGCCAAAACATGATCTACATATCAAGGCATGAACCAAAACAAATTAAAAGAAGAACTCTATATTCCTTGTATATGTAGAGTTTAATTATTTTTCTTACCCAGAACTAATTTTAATTGCCCGGTTTTTCACTATATTGAATCTTTTTAATTGCTTGTATAAGTTTTCAAAAATATGAATGTAATAACAGTATAGTTTTAATTCAGTTGGAAGATCTTGTTTTTCTAATTTTTGAGTGCAAAGGTTATTTGATTTAAGAAAAATAATTTTTTATTTTGGACTAAGAGGTTGGAGGGCATTTTGGACCTTAACAATAGTTCTTGATGTATATGTAATTATTTTACTTAAAACAACCAAAGTGAAAAATGAACTTTCAAAATAGATCACTGTGTTATTTGGGGCTCCTAACCCTACCTAAGTCTAGTTTTCCCAAAATAAAAATGGCAAACCTAGTGCACTAGGCTCCCACCATTGCGGGGTGTGGAATCCAAAAAAAAAAAGGTTCAATCTGATTCCCCCCCAAAAAAACACTTCATGCTCCAACTGTTGATGATTCAACTAATATGAATTCACTTAACTTAATGAATTCTCATGTGCATGGATCAAAATGCTATGAGGTCAAATTTAAGGCAGTGGTCTTCCAAAGGATCTTCTAACTGTTTACAATTAGGTTATATAATTGCTTCTATGAAGTTCTACTCCTCAGTTTTCACGGGGCTTGTCTAAATTCCAGTGGAAGTTTCATAAATAAAAATGTATTCAAACTTTTAAAGCTTTACGTAACATGCTTTCATTCACACATGATGCTTCCTGTCACCCTTTCTTGAACAAGAACCTTACTAAAATTTCTATTAGTTCTGTAGTAATTCCACATGCCATGTACGAAATATTTTTACAACAAATATATATATATATATATATATATATATATCATAAACTTATTCAGATCACCTTTGACTCAGACAGTTTGGATTCCAGGTGTAACTGTGGAAATTAGTACGTTTATCACATCTTAATAACATTTAAAGAAGTTTGCTAGTTTAGCTCAGCTTCAAAAACAACCAACATGCGTAATTTGTACATGTGGGAGGAGTAGGAGATACTGCTTGAGCTAAAGGCTAAGTGGTGCCCACTAGACGACCTCACTTAACCATCAATGCAAACTATAGGAGTTTGAGCTGTTTACTTACCCTCTTATGTGAGTGAGTCATGAGTGAGTGTGTGTGTGTGTGCGCGCGCGCGCGCGCGAGAGAGAGAGAGAGAGTCACATTTTCCTTTTCAATTTGACATATAAGAAAAAAAATTATTGAAAAAAAATTATGCGTATTTGTACACTAAATAGAGAAAGTAAAGTAAAACCAATCATTCAACAAAATAAATGGGGTCTTCAAAAAAATTTAATCACTGAATATCAAAAAGCTATAACATGGAAAAACATAATACCCCTCTTAATATCTACAGTTACAGGAAAAAGTTTTTTAACAAATTTTCAATTGCACCCCTCCTATATAGCCCAACAAATTATTCATATAATAACTGCCACGGTTTATTTCTGTTCTTGATCTAAGCCTTAAATGTCAAGAAACAAGCATTTTCTTAGAGAGAACATCCACTTGATCCCCCAAAATGGCAAAGCAACCTTCACAAACAGAAATAGTAAAGAAACAGTGAAGCAACAACTGACAGACCCAAACAGAATTTTATAGCAACTGAGCACAACGCAAATCCTAGAAATAAGATAATCAGATGTCAGAATACTTAAAAAATCAGCTGTCAGAAATTTATCATAGATGCCAACCATGGAACAATAGAAGGGGAGGATGGGAAAAAAGCAACAGTGAACAGGTAAGTACTTCTCTGCACCATATAAAGGAAAATCTGCAAACTCCACCCATGACTTCACATACAGGATCTAGAAAAAAAAACGGAAACTTGAATTGAAAGGAGCCCTAACTCATCTTGTTAGCCAAACTCCTTCAAGAAATTATTATGAAATGCAAGTAACTGCTCCGTGAAGTCCTTACTCCAGATCCTACATTTTTCTTCCAAGAAGTCAAGTTCGCCATTCTAGCGACAACTTGCAAGTCATTCCCCATTGCAAGTAACTGCTCCACAAATTCCTAACTTCTGATCCTGCATATATCTTCCAAAGAATCAAGTTTGCCATTCTAGCTACAACTTGCACGTCATCCCCTACTCAAGGAATCTTATACAGAACAAATCAAATCATCACAAAGTCATATTTCTGCACCGTTAATCAACCAAAAAACCCACTGTTGTCACCTCTTCCTATCATATTTACCTTTCCTAACTCAAAATCATATAATGGCCCAAATACCTAATCATCATCTGTGTTAACCACCATCTACTCTAAAGGCTTAAGCTATTAGTGAGGGTGTAACATTAATATTTCAACACGCCTCCTCACGTGTAGCATTCTTTTGGTCCAACAAATGTTTCAATTTTAATTATGAGGATGATGGTGAGGTTTGAACTCAAGGCCTTTTGGCTTTGATACCATGTTGATAAAATAAATATAAGATTGAAGAGAGAGAGAATGAAACAACACAAGGATATACGTGGTTCGGCACTACATCCTACATCCATGACACACAAAGCCCAAAGGGCTACATCACTTTATTATATTCTCTCTGTTTTAGTTTTTTGTTTTCAATGACCACCTCTATTTATACACGTGATAATTATGGAAAATACATTGGAGAAATCCTAAAATCACTCCTATCAATATTCTATCAAGCTTAAATCCCCCCCTCCTCCTCCTCCACCCCCAAGTTAGTACACGGAGATTTTAACTCAAGTATCCAACTTGAAACTAAATATGAAGTTGTCGATAGTCTGAAATTAGTAGATCCGAAATGAGTTGATCCTGAGATCCGAGCTGAGTAAATCTCATCCCAAAATTCAAGCGAGACAAAGTTGAACTTGAGATTCGAGACGAGTTGATCCTGAAATCTGAAAGTAAATACAAAGTTGTCGATAGTCAAAAACTAGTAGATCTGGAGATCCAAAACAAGTTGGTCCTAAGATCCGAGACGAGTTGATCCGAAACTAGTTGATCCAAAGATCCAAGACAAGTAATTCTCATCACAAAAATCAAGCGAGACGGAGGAGAGCCGAATGAGTCCAGAGTAAGGTGTGATAAACCTACTCTAATACCATGTTAACCACCATCTACTCTAAAAGTTTAAGCTGTTAGAGTGGGTGTAACTTCAATATTTAAATCCTTCACGTGTGGCCTTCTTTTGGTCCAACACGTGCTTCAGTTTTAATTATTAGGGTGATTGTGAGGTTTGACCACAAAACCTTTGCCTGCTCTGATACCATATTAGCCACCATCTACTCTAAAAGCTTAAGCTATTAGAAAGGGTATAACTTTAATATATCAACAATCTGCAAGCATAAGGACCACATCTCTCATTTGTAAGCAAATCAATGGCTGACAAACTATACTACTGCCATCCAATACACATAAATATTCATAATCTCCATCACTAACACCAGAGTTTCGCAACAGCGTTTCAAACAGAACTCTACTGAATGACATCCACACTGTTCTTCATCATTTTCTTTCCCCCAAGAGAATGATGAGTTCGCCAATAATAGTACAAACTAATCTTCATCACCACAAGAAAGCTCAAACTAAACAGCACGCCGTTGTCAGAACTATAATAGAGAAAGTATGGCTTATGAAGCCTTAATTCAAGATCCAACAAAAATATTTAAAAAGAAACTACAAGTTGCACTCATTCCGATATTTTAAGTACGTCAAAAACCATAATACCTGACCATGTACATCGCCACAAAGAGTGATGTGCTTGCCATCAGGAATATTTACATCAACGAGAGATAACAGAGAAAGTTTGGTTTATGAAGCCTTAATTCAAGATCCATCAAAAATATTTAAAAAGAAACTACAAGTTGTGCACTCATTCCAATATTTTAAGAACATCAAAAACCATAATACCTGACCATGTACATCGCCACAAACAGTGAAGTGTTTGCCATCAGGAATATTTATATCAACGAGAGATGGCAAGGCTCGCAACATTTCTCTTGTTTGTAGAACAATCTGAAATGCATATCTATACCACGAAAACCAAGATTCAGAGTGAAAACATTTAATATTATATATCAAAAATTAAAATTATAATATCAACCACAGTTTTTCACTTACCAAAAGAGAGAGGGAAAAAACTATTATGGCTTAAAGGCATACCTTTTGTGTAAAAACTTCTGATTCTTGAAGTCATCCATCATTTTCTTCACAAATTCCAGAGTTACATCATCTCCATCTATTCTTGCACCAGAATATTGTGGCTCCACATCTAAAGTAAAAACAGAATGTCATTAATTCCTATGTCATACAAGTATCTTCCCCCTATATTTTCTTTATTTATTAATTTTTTATTTCTTTCCTAGTAAAAGATGCATGACAAGTCCTTTCTTGTAAATTGTCATTTTCCTTCACCGACTTCATATCCTCAAACACTAAACTCCAAATAATGTTCAAAAGGTCATCTTGAGATGCCTGAGGCGCAAACCTTGAGGTGCGAGGCTAAAGCCTCATTCTCCTAGTCTTGAACAGCTAGAAAAAGAAGAAAAAAACACTACAATCATTTCCCTAAAATAATGTAGAGTATACGATATGTGTATGCAGGTGCATGTGCACACACTAGGAACGCATCATATATCAATGAGATGCAAATGAAAAAACGGTGCAGGTTAGAATAATTAATGTTCATGTTTTAAAAAGGAAAATGATGCCCAATCCATAAATACAACTCCAGAGATCAATCAGAAGAACGAAGACGAGTTAAAAATCACAGGGCCATAAATGGGCACCAAAACTTCTATATATATATGATAACAAATACAAAACCAAGTAAAATCTTCATCTTCAATTTCCAGTCACACTAAAGAAAGATCCCTAATATTCAATCATCATTACCTCTTGAACAAGGCCTATGAAATGGAAGAGGAACTTTTTCAAAAGGCAACATAGCATGCACAGGTGAAACAATTAAAGATTGGAAAAAAGATAAAGACTCGTCCTTAACTGGGGAGTCTAAAGTCCCAATTTATAACTATACTAATTCAAGTTCTGTTTTCGAAGTTCAATATCATATGTGATGAGAAAGAAAATAACACAGGCAATTGATTTAGGGTGAGTAGTTTGTGTGAGCTTTATCTTTATTTTCAAGAGCAGGTAAAATAGCTTTCAAAGTGACACAAATCATTCCTCATTTTATGATGGATAAGGTAGCAAGAACAATGGCAAGACTAACGGGTATGAAGACTTATTAATTGAAGAATCCTCAAAAAAAAGTTGAATTGCCTACGTGTCAGCTCACAGCATGCTCTAGAATGTTACATGTCGTCGTGCTCAACATTGCCAAAGGATGTGACAACAGGAGTGTTCCTTTTACATTCATAAATGGCTCTCAAATATCAAGAAGAAACAAGCCACAAGGTGCTGATTCTCAACAAATCTTATGACATGCATATATGTAATTGTATGCCAAAATGCTAAAATTAGAGTTCCCATTTAATTTATTAACAAAAGGGAAGAATGAATTCAAGGAAAGAATCTAAATATAAGCATATTTTAAAAAAAATAGCATGACCTCGAGTTTATCGTATATAATTTTCAACTACAAGGAGAATCCTGCTCCAATTCTAGTTTTAAGTTCTTCATAGAGATATATTAACCTATTATGGCTTTATTAGTGAATATTTTGGTTTTTTCCTTTTTCTTCTATTCGTTTCTTTTGACTGTTTTTTTATTAGTCCAAAATGCTGTTTCTTAGCTAATCCAGCTCCCAGTCATGTTCGCATCAATACTTCTTCAAGCAACAGACAATGTTTTTGTTTATAAAAGGATGAGGGAGAACTTTCCCATCATTTACATAAATTCCCTCGCTCATTATACGTTTTATGATATCCTTTTCTTCATTTGAATAACAGTATTCAGCAAACATCATTATTTCCTTGAATTTTAGTGAGTTTGTTTTTCCATCCTTAAAGACAATAAGACCTTAACTCAATCGTACACTTTCATCCCAGTCATTCCACAAGTCAAGTACTATAAAGAATAAAATTGAAATCCACAGATGATATTCAACGAATGGCCTTTAAAAAGATGCAACAAAAACAAATAATCACCAGTCAGCGAACTGCTTAAGAAGCAAAAACCATGTCTTCGCAAAAAAGGAGTGCTCCTCGGTCGTCTAACAATTTCATTTAAAGAACTATCAGAACTGTTAATTGTCTCAGGGTATATTCTTTTTGCTTACAAAATGCAATTGTGACAATGCATTATTTAATTTTATTTTTATTTATAAATAACAAGCTCTGTACAGTGTTCAGGGGGAGAATTCATTTCTGGCGATCTTTTTCCTAACAAGTAATTTATCCCTTGGTGAACGATTCGCTAATTTATGAGAAATATCAGTTATTCCAAGAAATAAGGATTTCTAACTTTTGGGAGTCATGAATGACTTGCGATTTTTCTTCATTACTTCATTTACTCTTAAAAGCTCAAACCTAGGTCAAGTGTTTGACTCTTTGCAAAGACATCACCACTGTAGCCACCCCACCAGCATGTAACCATGATAACCAATACCGTAGCAATTCCTGCCACCGCCACTGTGGCTGCTTTTGTCCCCAGCACCACTAGCAGTACAGCCATTACTACTGCCGCTGTTACAGCAGCCACTTGGGGGGGAATGAATGATGAGAATTGACCAGTCCCTATAATGATAAAATAAGTGAAAAATTACAATTTCAATATGTATTAAGAATAGATAGTTTATAGTCTAATGTAAATTAATAAAATTTGTGTAATACATTTACAAATTGAGCAAGATTCGAGTGAACGAAGCCAGGTAACTTAGAACAGATTTGGGGATTGAATGAAATTTGATAGTGGGAATGATGAACAGCAGTAACAGTTTATGGATGACACGGTTATTAGGAGATCTCTCCAAAATGACTTTTGTAGTTTGCACTTAGGAAATCAGATTTGGAGTTTAACCTTCAAATGTGAGATGGTCAATAAATGGGGGCCAGTGACCAAGTCCCTAGATTTGCTAGAATTACACGGTTAACTTATAGCAGAATGCAGACCCCTTTGCTACCGCAGAAGTATGTTACGTCCAGGTTAGCAATCTTAAATTTGCCTTTTATATATATATATATATATATATAGTTCTTTCTTCCTTTGTTGGTGTGGGGAAGGGGGTTGGGGTTGTTTTAGAAAATAATGGACGATGTGAAAAAATGTTTCAAGGTGTGATCACTGATCGCACTTCGACAAAATGGAATTGTGTGGATTAAATCAAGTGTATAACTATAATGGCCAAGCTGTCTAGGACTCTAGAGGGATTCTAAAGCATATTGAATCAAATGTTGTAAGTCATAACTATTAACATGTGGAGGAGAGGGGGGAAGGGGGGGTGAAGAGAGAAATGTAAGGTTTTAATAGCCTTAGTGCAACCTATTTAAAGGATCATTGGCAGTACTAGACTACTAGTGGAAAAGAGAGAGTTGCTTCTATATGAAAATTCAGGTAGAATAGAATTCAATCATCTCAACAGAAGGTAAGGGACCCTAATGCTATTACTCATAACCTTGCAAAGGTTCCTCCACTGGTAGGAGGTCAAATGTGTACTCCTTCCGTCCCATATTAGTTGTCCATCTTTGGGTTTATAACATTTTAAGGGGACATGCCATTAATGCATTGTCACACCCTTTTTGAATTACTAAATTGTCCCTTTAACTTTAATGATATATAATGTTTTTTGAAAAGTTAAAAGGGTAGTTATGGAAAGATGGTATTTATTTTGTTTGACTTTTCAAAATGGACAACTACTAATTTGGGAAATCCTAAAATGGAAAAGTGGACTATTAATATGGGACAGAGGTAGTAATTAGCAAATCTTACAACAAATGAGAACAAGATGTTCAGAAAACCATAATTAAGTGTCAATTATACCCCACTCATCTCACAGCATCGCAAGCACTTTTCCATTAACTCAACACAACAAAGTCTTTTCCCAACTATTTCGGGTCAACTATGTGATTCTTGTTTCGCCATTCCACTCTGATGCCATAACTCAACCCCATGCTAGTTTAGTCTTTGCCTTCTCTTATCATTAACCTCAATGTATACCATATTACTCTTCCTTACATGCACAGTTATTGGTCTTTATTAAATTCTCTCATTTTTACCAATGGCCAGTGGCCTAGTGTTACAAGGGGAAACTTGTCCCACATCGGATCCGGATGGGAAGTGACATGGGTATAAATGGGTGGGTATGCAGCCTTACCTAACAGTTCGAGCTTTTGGGTAAATGGGCAAGCGCCCACCCGTTACACCTAGTGATATTAGCCTCTTACTTCCCAAAGGGAGGTCAGGGGTTCAAGTCTCAAAAGAGACGTGTGTGTGAGTACCAACTACGAAAAAAAATTCTCATTTTACGTGCTACTTCAACTATCTCATGACTGGACAATTTTAATTTTGTCCTATTTCATATATTCCACTAAAAGCAAAAGTTGTTGATATTTTTACTCAAATGGTCTTCAGAAGAATTCATCAAATGCAAATTACAGAAAAGAAAAAAAAAATACCTATAGAATGAAAATCAATGGAATCAGCCACAGAACGCCTTGCAGAACCAGGTGCAGCAATTGCTTCTTCAAATTTTAGCTTCATGACAGCTTTCTCGCATTCCTTCAATTTCTTAGTAGCATCAGGATCATTGGGACAGATTTTTTTGACCTAAGATCATAAATAAAAGAAACAACAAAATATTTAGATTAGCACATCATAAATATTTCTGCCCTACAGAAGAAATGTATGAAATTTACATTTACACAAGAAATAAAAAATTAAGAAAAACAGAAAAAAAAACTTGGACATCAACAAATGCAAAATGAGTAACTTGGTGAGCAAGCATGCAAAAATGCATAAATGACAAGAAAAGAAAGGCAGGGAAGGGGCAGCTAAATTTGGTCCTAGAAGATTAGAAATTGTGGAGCGGCTATGGCCTAGATGACATAAAATGACGTCATATGAATGAAAGGACTTCAGATATGATAAATGAAGCTTGACCATATCATAATATTAATCTGCCCTATAAAAGCCACATGCTACAATAGGAACTACATTGCATTTTTCCTGATTAATAAGGTATTTTCATACTTTGAACGAGAGAGAACCATTAACGTAGCATATTGACAGTTCCTATCAGTTGAACAATTTCTGAATAGCCACAAAATAATCTACAACATGATATCCCATTTCAGAAAAACAAAGAGCCTTTTGGATCGTCACTAAAACAGTTATCTACTGAGTAAGTAAAAAAGAATAATTAGAAAAACAATTCATTAGGCATGCTGTTCCAAGAACGGTTCTCAGAGAACCCAGTTGTGAGAGAGGCAATATTTGGAGGACACAAGTACCGTCACTTAGAAATTAAGCACCAAATATGTGAAAAAAACTGAAGTTACTGGTTTGTTGATAAACCTGTTAAGAGTCATTTCAGAGCATACAGGTTTTTAATTCCTTTTTTCTTTTCTTTTTTCCTACTCAGTTTTGACATTTAGTGGCAATGTTTCTTTTATGGCCATAGCCATATCTACTATTCAGGGAAAATATTTATTAGTTTCAAAGTGAGGCTATTGAGAAGAAAAGAAAAGGATACAAAATAGGAGAGAATCAAACTTAGTGAGAAACCAGAAATTGAAATCTGGCTGTCTAATTGCATTCTATTTCATTTTATTTATTTATTCCTTTTGGTTTTTCTAAGAGGGGATTGTGGATGTTCCCGATAGTATTGCATGCATGCAAGGTCAGACCTTGGTGCAACGGTCAGGTTGCTCCATTATGACCTGGAGGTCACAGAGAAAGAAAGCCTGACGAATGCAAGTCTCCGGTCAAGGTCAAGCCTACTCAGGCACCTCAGCCTGCACCTTCTCTGTCTCATGCAATACGACCAATTCTTCTATTTCGCTCTTTAGTCTCGGACTAATCCACTACTTTATCTTCCGGGAATGTCGTAGAAGGATGACTCTGGCTTCTTAGTATCTTACGTTCAAAGTGGAAAACAACCCCTCCACCTGCCCAGATCCTACAATGACGGGAGTCTTGTGTGCTGGGATAGCTTCATATTATTGCATGCATATTTGGAAACATCTTAACTTCCTCATATTTGATCTTTGAATATTGTTTTATTTTTTTCTTTTATATTTTTTTCTTTGAATATTATTTCTTGATCATGTAGAATGCTAAAAACTGAGAAATACAAACAAAGACTACCTAACCATACAACAATACTAATGAAATTATATATTGCTCCAAGTTGGTAAAAAATGTACCTAACATTGGTAAATTATAAAAGAAATCATATCAATTATTCTACAAAAAGATCTATCCAAACAGGTTTCAGAGTTTTTGTTTTCAAAAAACAATTCTGCAGTACTTTTCGCCAAACATATTGACAGAGAAGACATCATAAACCAATAGTGTTCATGCTCTTAAATACATAGCACAGAAAATGATTTTTTTGAGTCACCTTCCAAACACAGCTAAATTTATTGTCTAAACTGCGAACTAGTTACTAATGTCATTGGTGCATTTTTATTTGATAAGTATGCTGTTATTTATAATGTCCAAGAATAATTTAACGAAAACAAATTGCTTGAGCCAGTTGTTAGACATTCCTTCAAACAAACAATGAGTACCGCATCGACAAAAACAATGAACCAAACATCATTAAGTCTCCAATTCTGTGAACCACCAGATCTGTCAAATCAGTGGGTGGATCCATTTGGGTTCCTCCTCTCAACTCCCACCCCCAAAAAATAATAATAATAATAAACTAAATGAAAATAAAAATTGTTGTGAATGTATGAAGTAGCAACAAGCTCCACAAAGATCATAGATTGCACACAAAGATATATGTAGAAATACAAGTGCCACCATACACAAACATGTGAGGGTTGAACATGATTAGGATTTGACAAAAGTCAGCATAAAAAGACTGTACGGTCCTTGCATAAATACTAACACAAACATTTACATAGGATTTCAAATCTTTTTTATTTTTTTTATTTCTTTATCAGGTAAGTACTCACACACACTGCCATCACGGGGACAGGTACGTACTCACACGCACTGCCACCGCGGGGACTCGAACCCCTCCCCTCCTCTTTGAGGATACGGAGGTTATATCATTGGGCTAATGACCCATTGGTTAGGATTTCAAATCTTACAATACAAATAATGATTTAAATGATTTAAATAGAGAAATAATTAATAAATGTTGAATTGTAAAGAGCTTGATCAAACACAAATTTTTTTATTTTTTTGGAAGGTGATCAAACTCAAATTTACTTAGAGAAATAATTAATATATGTTGAATTCTAAAGAGCATGATCTAACTCAAAGAAAGAGAGAGAGAGAGAGATGATGTACTGTTTGTTATAAGAATCTAATACTCAACGCATACAAAAGATTCAACCAATTGAGCTCTCTCATAAACTGTTACAGTTACAACTCATATTTAGAATTTTAGACCACAGATTAAGTAATAATGAGAAGAATAAATAAATAAATAAACCTTAATCTATCATGTTACATGGACTCTTCAAAACTACGTAAAATAGTTGTGTCGGACACATAACACTGTGACGGGCATTTGATATGGTTTTGATACATTTGGTAGGACATGTACCTAAAAAGCATATCCAATAATTCAATTTGATTAGATTATTGCTTCAAAATGAGTTAAATGTCTATTTTGAACATTGTGTCGCATAAGAACATTATTTTACTTTTAGATACACACACACACACACACACACACATATATATATATATTAATAGAGCAGTTCTCTGTATCCGTTTATTTAGGGATTTGATACATTCGATAATCAGATACATACCCACATCTAACACACGTCCCAAGTCCATGTAACATAGTATTTAAATTTCACAAAGTAAACATCATTTTCATAACCTAATTAGTAAATAGAGAATGGGGATATGCTTGAATGAAAATACCTGTTGAAAATCCTTTAGAGCTTCTTTGAACTTTCCCATTGCAAGATATGCTGCACCTCGCCTGTAATAACCCTGTAATTACCAAGAAACATCAAAATAAAATCTTGGAATATTAAATATGCATGAACCTCAAAGATTTCAGATTGTGAAGTATGCCTTTGAATACATGGGATCAACTTCAATAGCCTCTGATGCATCCTGGACAGCACTACCATATTCCTCCAGTTTAGTGTGAGCAAATGCACGATTTGCCCAGTATACAGCATTTTGACTATTCAGTTCAATTGCTTGAGTATACAGATCAATAGCTTGAGAATATTTGTGAGCTGGTTAAGCGAAACAACATGGTTAGCACAGCAGAAAATGCAGAAATCAGCATAAAAAGGCAACAAAGCAACAGGCATTTAGTGAATCTTGTTCAATGCAGAGATAACAAAACAAGACATAAAAAATAAAATTAAAAAATTTCTTCATCATGCATGGTTGCTTGAGAAAGGAGCAGTGTGCTTGCATAAGGGGATCGTTATGCAGTTTCAAGAGACTGGGCCCACTTTAAGACTTCATTTTCAACAAAACCAATATACTAATGAATAACATGCCACTCAGTTAATAAATACAGAGAAGCAAGAATATACTACCTTTGAATGCCTCATTAGCTTGGAGTTTGATTTCTTCAGACCGAGAAATGCTTGAATTTTCAGCATCCATGCTGGGCATAATAGTCGTTGTCTATGCAAAATCAGGTTGAATAAATTACAAGATAACCTACTCCGTGGCCACTCTTCTTTCTACTATACACATCTACCTGCTCCTTTAAAAGAATAAGAGGAGCTAAATTAGCTATGTTACTGTGACGATCTGTGAAGATCAAGGTAGGGAGAGTCTACTATACACATCTACCTGCTCCTTTAAAATAATAAGAGGAGCTAAATTAGCTATGTTACTGTGATGATTTGTGCAGATCAAGGTGGGGGGAAATGATAAACTACAGCTATCAAGAAATATATCAAAATCCTTATAAAATAACCACAAGCATATATATTTGCAAAATTCAAGTGTCTCAGCCCCAATATTAAATTGGAGCTTACTCAAAACTCATTGCACCAATCTGCACTTGTCAATGATAAAGATATTAATTTCTTCAGTAGATCTAAAAGCTTCCAGAACAATGAACCATTTAAAAAAAAAAAAAAAAAAAAACAAAGTAATCACTAAATATCCAGCCTTCAAGAATAAGTAGTAACACTTGCATGAATCACATAGCCAACCAAAAGATTTGCATTGAAGCTACTTATATCCTGCAGGAATAGCTTAATGCTAATAAAACCGTCAATAAAATTGAAATAGAACAGCCATATACCTACAAAATTTATGGATTCTAGCAAGGGAAAATATATATAGATATGAAAGTTGAACACAATGATAGAATTCCATATCTCGGTAGTTTTATGCAGGTGTAAGGGCAGCCTATTTTCAATTTCATAGGTGGGATTACCTTTCTCAACTTCAAAGGCAGAAAAACACAGGAAAACATAGATTGTGAGAAGGAAAAGGGTTAGAAGAATTGGATAAGTGAGTGTCGCAATGTAAAATGCAAGGAAATGTTTTCTTTCCCAAAGCTAGAAGATAACTGCTTTCTGAAGGATAGCCCCAACAACTATCCCCAAATGTAAGAATCACTTTTCAGTCACTATGGAAACTAGTGTCTCTTGTAATGAATTAGCAATCAATACAATGTATCTATTGCTAAGACCCAACCCTTTGCAAAAGACAAGATGCTAGTACATAACTGCAACTGGAAGCAGGAGAAATGAAATAATAAATCATAAAGGTTAATACTTCAACCACAATTGACTTTAAACGCACTTGATTCATTAAATTTTAAAGTTCAGATGACATTCTGTGATGTTGTAGCCCAAATATGGTGTCAGGTCGTGTTGCAACCCGTTCTCAACCTGGTGACCCATTGATTGACCCAATAGATAAGGGAGTTTAGGGTTTGGAGTGAAAATTTGAGAGACTAAAATCATAGAAAACAGAGTGAGGGCGAGAGCTAGGGTTTGGGAGTTGAAACTTGCAATCTCTAGATTTTCGCATAGTGAATTCTTTCACCGGATACCGACGTAGGCTTTGCCGAACCACGTAAATCTTGCATTTATTTTTCGGCCGTGTTTCTTGATCGATCCTTGGGTTCGCTGCATTTGTCCTAACACATTCCATGAATTGATCCAGCACCCCATGCAATCAGAATGGCTTAATTGACTTTCAGCTACTATTTAATAAAAAATCATCCAAATGAATCGAGCCCTTGGATCCAGTAGCACAACTGATAATATAAACTCCGTTTCAAAATTTTAATAATTATTTTAGGCTTGACTGTCTTTATGTGTAACAGCAACATCATGATGATAATTATTTTTCCTTTTGGTCTGGATCATAATGACGGAATCCACCTGTGAATGGTACAAAATACTAGGAATTCAATCCATTCCAGATGGGCATCCTAATGCACCTGAATTTCAGCACATAGATACATATACAAATATGCACAGCTTTCTAACCAAATCTATCACCAACATGCAACAAATAAAGTAGAATTAAAAAAGGGAGAAAAAATTAGGGTGAAAAGCTTGATCATTCACACTGTTACAACCAAAGGAATATTTTTGAGAATTGAAATGTCATTAAGATACAAATTTCAATAACTCCTAACCATTGAGGATGCATTATACCTCAAAAGAATATTACCTAGAGCATTGTATGGATATAAATATTGCTCACAAACTCTAATCAATGACGATAATTAACAGAATAAATAGGAAAAATACAGGAAAAAAAAAAAAAGTTAAATAAATAAAGATAAAAGAAGAAGACTAAGAAAATACAAATTGTACTAAACGCCCAAACTGAGAAATAAAAGGGAAACAATTAACAGATTCCTGCACTGTAAGGCACATTTCTGATAGCATAAAGAAGTGCTTACTTTGCTTCTGATAAATATATATATATATATATATATATATATATATATATATATATATAATAAACGGCTTCGCTTTTTCGCTATCAAAGGCAAAATAACTACTTCTATGATGCCAACCAAAAAAGCGTCTAATTTACCCTTTATTTCATTGTGGGCTGTTTGGTTAATTGGAAAGTAACAAAAGACTATAATGATTAGAAGAAGAATAACAAGTTCGTTGGCACAGTCCTAACAGAAGTTAATAAGGAATCAGAGGAAATACCTGAGGCCAAATCTATTGCATTTGATTTGATTCTCGTTTCCGTTGAGAAGTGATAGAACGAGTTGTGGAGGGAACCCTAGTTAAGGAGAGGATTATAGTGTTATATAGATAGATACATAGTATATTTTTGTAAAATCGTCGGGGAGAGAGAACCAAAGAAGAGTGTGGATAGAGAGGGATTTTGGCTGATGCGAATATAGGTCAACTCAACGGGTTGGGTCGAGTTTGAAGTCAACCCACGCTTAACCCAGCAGCCTTTGTTTCAAGTTTAGCCCGACCCGACCTCTTTCCCATTTACTAGTATCATCGGTGCTCAATAATATCTTCAATTATGCCCGTACTATTACCACACAACTCATTAGGGCTCCAATAAAATTTACTATATGTTTGATTAATAAATAAATTTGGAATTTTGTGTGCTCATATTTCTTGTCAATAATAATAATAATAATAACTCATTCTCAGTTTAGAAAAAATTTTAAAAATCAATCCCAAACAGTTAGCCGGTGAGTTAATCCACTCTTATTTTCGGATCATAACTTTATAATTTTAGACTCACCATTTTTTTAAGCCGGCCCTAATATGATTCTCTCTCTCCCTTCCTCTCTCTCATCTCACGTTGTCTATTCTTACCGTCAACCAACACTTCTATTTTTCTCCTTCACGTGACAAGTGTTTTGTACCATTACAAATTCAGAAGGTGAAACTAGATATTCAGACATGAGTGAATCAGCTGGTACCCATAGGTACAAATCAAATCTCTTTCGCATTCAAGTTTTTCTTGATCTTTAAATTCCTGATGGCCATCGCACAATGCTCGAACTGGATCAGATTTTACCTTAACAAGTAAAGTGATGTGTTATGTTTTTCCTTTGTTACTTGTTGATCAAGTTTTATAAAAGGAAAACCAAAATTAAAAAACGCCTTTAAAGGAAATGGCAGCAACTATTTAATAAAATAAATTATTAGATGGAGAAAAACAGAAATAGTGTAAGAATAGAACAGCGTGAGAGTAAGTGTGTGTGAGAGTGAATATATGTCCATCGAGTTGTGTGTGTGTGTGTGTGTGTGTGTGTGTGTGTGTGAGAGAGAGAGAGAGAGTGTGTGAGGGCTTGGTCGATAGAGATCGAGTAGCATTGAAAGGGCAGATAATCAAATTATAATTTGATTTCGACTTTAAATTTTGAATACAAACAACGTATATGTATATATAAATATAATTAATCAATAACTATGACATCATAAATTCATCACAAATCAATAAAAAAAAAAAATACTAATTTAAATGATCAACTTCGTGTGATGAAGTGTGAAGTGTATGTACGATCATAAAGTAAAAAAAACTACAAAGGTTCGAAAAATATATATATAAGAATAATTTTGCATTATTGTTTATTATATATAAATAATATTATAAAAAATATTATTATATTTAGAAGAGAGTTTTCTAAAAACTGTTTGTCAAAGCCTGGTACTCCAAGATCCACGGGAGGCACTAACCCAGTGAGTTATTGAGGATAGAAACTCTTTATACTTATAATAATAGTAGAAATATATATATAGTAAATTCATAAGTATAATTTATTAAATTAAAATTTCAAATTAAATTAAATTAGAATATCACATAATTTAATTTATGCACATGTTTAAATCATGTTCTGGACTCATTTTATCACTAAAGGGTTTATAAACTTTCAAAAAGAACACAAAACAAAATAAAATAAGCATCTACCATTACAAACAAAATAAAAAAATATCTACAAATATCTATAAGAATCTATGAACCAGCTGCTTGGTTTATAATTCTCAATATAGTTCTCAATAACTCATAAAATAGAAAACTATTTTTAAAAAACTATAAAAGACAAATATCTGAAAATTGGGCTTTGCTTGGTTGGTAACTATGAAAACAGTTTGTTATGCTCGGAAATTAAACTGAAAACTGTACAAAAAAAAAAAAAAATTCTATTTGGTTCAGCTTTCTGAAAACTCAATTATTGGAATACCCCTAATTTTAAAAGTATAGTCTCGGTATTTATTTAATTATTTTAATTGCATTTTTAATTATTTAATTGATTGTGTGACTATTTGTTTATGTGTTTAATTGAATAAATTATTTAAATGTGATTTGTGTGCTTAAATAATTTATTTGAATTTATTTGTTTAAATGATGTGTTTAATTATTTGTAATTAATTATAGAATTAAGTGACGGTATGTAATTCTTTGTTTACATGCTATATGTTTATTTGTATTTAAATTATTTATTTTGTTTTATTTTATTTTAATTTTAAAATGAACGGATTTGGATAGTAGTAATGGACCAACCAAATGGGTCACATGTACTACTTGGATAAGAGCCTAAATGGGTAAGATTACGACCCATGGGTGTTGGATATATATATATATATATACACAGATATTTATATTATTTGCGTATATATATAAATATGGATATTATTATTATTAGTATAATAATAATTATTATTATTATTAATGGATGGAGTAGTTATATATATAGTAATGGGTATATATATGTATATGAATATACGTGTACTACTATAGTACGTATTATTGGTAGTAATTATTATTAATAATACATGGTAGTTTTTGATATATATGTATATATATAAATTGATATATATATATATATATGTTATATATCATGGAGGAGTTATATATATATATATATATATATATATATATATATATATATATATATATATATATATTATGTGTGTATATAAATATATATATTACATATTAGATAAGTATATATTTAGTATTATTATTACTTTAAGTTATTTTATCTTATTTTCTTTTCCTTATACAATTAGGATTTGTGTAGGGTTAATTTATGATAATTATATAGACTATATATATGTGTAGAGTTCTGTAGAGGGGTGGTGGTTGTTACATGAGTTTTAGAGAGAAGGAGAAGCCGAAACCAAAGGAAGGAAAAGAAGGGGAAGTTGTGCGTGGGTAGAACCAAGCCTGCACGACGGCATCCATGATTGCCGGCGTCAAGGAGTTGGCTGGAAAAGAAAGGAGTAAGGTTTCAATCTGAAATTCTTAAAGGCAAGTTCTATGTTCTACTTCTCTTATTTGATCTGGGGTTCAGTACATGTCTAGGACTGCTTTAGGATGATTAAATAAGATTAATTAATCTGTTTGCATGCTTTAATCGGATTATAATGGGAACTAATTATGTGTTTATTGTGTGTTATTGTTTAGATTTGATTTCTCAAAGTAATGTATAATTATTTGTTTTAATTGTTGGAGATTGTGTATCTTTCCATTATGTAACATTGATAATCATATTAGATTTAGATATAATAATTTAGGACCCAAACAGAGAAGTTGCAGGTCTAAAACAGTAGTCGCAATGAAGAAGACCACATGTTTCGGTCGACCGATGTGGGTGCTTCAGCCGACCAATGAAGGTATATCGGTCGACCGATATAGGTGCTTCGGCCGACCGAATTAGGGAATCGGTCAATCGAAATTCCTATTAAGACAGTATATTTTGTTATCTGTTTTTGGGTTTGTTTTAACGTTGGAAGTGGTGTTTTTGGTTAAGTGGTGATTGGGTATTTGGATAACATTGTATTATTACGTATTGGTAAAAATATACCGTATATTATAGTAATTTGTTTATACATATTTTATCCTAAAATTGTTATAACCAATAGGATAGTAACGTGTAACATGTTTTGTGGTGAATTAGTATAATCACTTTTGGACACTTGTTAATGGATCAGTAAGATATTAATGTATTGGTTAAATATTGGAACTTTAGCATGAATATTAATATAGCTGTAACGTGTTATGTGGTTAATTAATATAACCACTTTTGGACATTAGTTAGTGATTGGTTAGTTTTACCACTTTAGTGGAAAATAAAGATAATGTTTAAATTGGTAGTAACGTGGTATTTATTTTAATACACGTAATTGAATTAACAAATGGTTTTTATTTAATTATTATATTGTGAATCATTTGTGGGATAATGTTATATGTATTTAATTACATATGATTGGATTAAATTATTTTAATCAATTATTTGGTTTTAATAAATTTTGATCAGATTGTGGAGGAGAACAATTATTTGAGATGCATGTTAATTTTATGAGATAAATTAAATGCATGTTACTTAGAATTGTTACATTTTGCTCAATTAAATGCAAAGGAATATCTGTATGATTTATATCATGCTATGTATAGATTTATTTGATGTGATATTATAACTGTAACATTATTTATGAATTGTATGCATTTTATGCACCAGTATGGGATGGTGGCATAATAGGAACAGATTAACTAAAAACGTTAAGTCCTACCTATTCATGTATAAGGGAATGGATTAACTAAAATGTTAAATCCTACTTATATTCATGTCAGGTCAATTGAATCAGTTGGATAGCATACCGGATTTATTTTTGGATAGGACGTAATATATATATATATATGCCATGATATGAGTTCGAGTCTCAGGATCATGGTTGGGGTACGTATATTGCCAGGGATGTGTAGTTAGTTATAGTGTAGTTATTTCCCTGGTAGGTCTAGGTACTCATACCCACTATATGTGCGTTTTGCATGTTACCTACTATTTAGGTTGACACAACCTTATAGTCTAGTGAGGTTCCTTTAGTGTGTATATATATATATATATATATATATATATACAGACTACTGATGAGCGCTGAAAAGTGCCCATTTAAACTCTTTAAGCTTAGGTATTCTAGAATCTTTATCTATCTTATTTTCCCGCTTTAGATTAATTTTGTATTATTTCCATTTTCAGGTGTTTATCCCCAAAATAAGCTAACTCAGCTAAATAAGAGCATAATTGAAGCAATCTTGAGATGAATCAAAGAAAGGAGCAAAGTGGGAGCAAAAGGAAGAAAGTGGTAGAAATTCAGCAAGTTCGATCGATCTCAGAAAATATTCAATCGATCGAAAGTTCATCGATCTCAGCATTTCAAGATGGATCAAAGCTCTTTTGTCCTTGTCCAAAGATCCCACAAAGTTCGATCGATCCAACTTTCTTCTGATTGATCAAAAAGATTCCATCTTATCTAGTTATACCACCCTACCAGCCACACTTGTCTCTTTCTCAAAAATATCTTCAAAATATCTCAGATTTGTCTTTATCCAAAAAGGCACTGCCATAGAAGATTGATCCAG